TAATTTTAACAAGGTTTCTGTAAGCTCGCTGCTTACTATACACTTACGATAGCAAGGATCACGTGAACAATCCCCTTATATTTCTCTGATTCAACGTCAAACTGAGAGTCTAGGCTTATAGCATCCTCACTGCATCATGCTCAAAAGCGAAAGCTCCGTCGAGCAGCCAGTCTGCCTCCGCGTCCAGGAAATTTCGCAGGAGGTTGGAGATTTTCTCATATCCCTCCCGGTGTCACTGGAATCGCAGAAGACTCAAGTCTTCCTGATACACGGTATTAACAAGGTGAATAACCACATATATGTTATGTAATATAATTTTATGTTCTGACATATCTCATTGCTTAGGAAAAGGTGCCAAAAGAGTGCCAGGATGCAGTGTCGGTCCTTGTGCACCAGCTTCAACTGTACCGAGGTAGCGCAAAGGCTCTGATGGCACTTCCAGAATCAGACGGTGTCAAAAGGACGTCGATTTCCACTTATCCCTCGCACAGTACTTCGTGGACGTTCTGGATAAGTTCATAACTGAGCTTCCAAAGGGATTCTCCCGGTCCACGTTCCAAGTGGCGGTCATGCTACCTTGACTTTCACTTCGCTATGGCGTTGGCCGGCAACTCATTTACAAATGAGCAACAAGCCACCGCACTCGAAAAAGATCGATCGCACGTGGAACGGACTTTCTGCAGAAGAAGTCCTATACACCAGTGCAGCAGCGTGAGTATGACTCTACCCAAGACTCTATGCTCAGCATTTCCTTTAGTTGATCTCGGAAAAATGCATGACACGTTCTGCAAAGATGGGGACGACGTGTGCGGTTCCTTCTCGCACTCATCAGCGTTCGCTCGAAGAAATGATCACACAGGTCATCGAACCACACACTATTCACAAGGCAGCAGAGACGAATCAGAACCAGAAGACTTACGGCTCAAAAATCTCACTACGGCGGATGTTAATACATCCCCTGTGGATATGGCTGGCAAGACTCGCAAGGGTAGCCGCAATGTAAATGCCAAAGGTTCTCATACAGCGACTCAGGAGCAGAGGGCCGGAAAGCCTAACCCCAGTGTCAAAACAACTCTTTCACTGGTGGGAAGCTCAATACCAGCGAAAAAACTCTGAAATCAATGCAATCGATAGCGACGTTGTTCAGAATATATTTGAGTTGCAGGAGAATATCAAGAAGCCCCGTAATCGTATTATCCACGCCAGGACTAAGGAGGTAGTGAGGTCCGAAATGACGATCCAGCCGGAGGACGAGGTGCGTGTTTCTCGTAGAATACCAGATGTGTTTAGTCGTCATTATTGATGGATCTGCATGATGCCCAGGGTTTTTCTGACATGAAGGATGTTGTTCTCGAAGCATCAGCGAATACGTTTGAAACCAAGGAAGTCGAAAAAAAGGATTTATACGTCTACCAAAGGTGTACGCCACCCAAAAAAACGCGACAACGAATAACAACGTGAAGTCTAGATCCAAGGGGACACTTGAAGCCGAAGTACATGTGGGTGCATCTTGCGGTGAATCTGGATACTTGATGCTTATATTTATTCATTAGCGTGACGCCTCGGGTGATTCAGACATGAAAGACGGTGATATCCAAGAGATTCCGAAGAATGCTAAAGAAGTCGCCAAAAAGTCTACAAGTCTACGAAAGGCGGGCGGAGCCGGAAGGATGCAAGCCAGAAGAACAAAGCGAAGTCTAAGGAGACAATTGAATCCGAAGATGAGGTGGGTACTTTTTGCAGGGAACCAGCCCAGGCCCTCGACTGACCATATTGCTTAGCATCACTCTGGGGTAGACATACCAGAATCAAACGTAATTAAGCGACATGATCTGACAACTAAACATGTTCTAACATCTATCAGGCAGAGCCCGGGGACTACGATCATGTGAAATTTCCTCGTGATTTGGATGACTGGGACGAATATATCGAGAAAGTTTTCAAGGAGGGCAACTCGCATGTTTTTCTCAAACTTGCCGCTTGGATATCTTGTCGCTTCTGCGAGCTTGCAGGCATCAGCAAGGAAGATGAATTAAAGGGATTGGTGATCCCAAAACATCCAGGTTGGTTTAAGTTTGACAGCAATGATCATTTTCTCGAAGCCTTGGGCATGGAACGCTTGTACGCTGCGACGGCGCACATGGACACACACCCTGAATACCTCGCGTGTATCTTCCGTCAACTCGGTGAGCTGGAGTCGGCAAACGAAATGGGAAGCAGCCACCCTCGACTCAGGCCCCTGCCATCCCCACCGACGCCGGTTGCAAGGTATGTCATATGCGCGCACCGTAGCCTAACTCACCACCATCAGCATGATGTCGGCTCACGAGCTCCCCTGGTTATTATCATTCGTTCACAGCAGTGAATCCGACGATGTGGGAGATTTAATGGATCATCGGGTGGGAAACGGTACGGTAAAGCGTAAACGGACGTTATCGAATGCGACGTTGACGCCAGAGGTGAGCTCAAACCTTGGAATAATTGTAAATATTGACGCATATTTCCAACTACATATATTTTCAGTCGGAACATGTGCCTGCTGCGAAACGTGTCAAGGGTGGAATTCGATCTACGTCACCAGCGTTCAACAGTATGACTCCTGCTTCGAACAGCGACTTCCCAATGGGTGGTGGCACCATGACGCACCCTACACTGTCTCCTGAATCTGTATCGTCATCTATATCTAACATCACCAAAGCCCTTCTCTTGGACGAAAGTTCAGGTTCGACCAGTGAGCCTGCGGATACAAGAGAGGCTGTCACAGACACTGATGGAGATGTATTTACGAATGAAGCGCCTGAGATGGAAGAAGCTATGGTAGACATTGTCGAAGGCGTCGCTGGTTCTTTGAGTGAGCCTGTGGATGGATCATGTTTTAAGGCTGTCGAAGACGGTTCTGGATCCAAGTGCAAGTCTTCTGAGACGAAAGTCGTTGACTTGGAGGTGGGTGCAGCATCCCCATCCAGAAAACCTATCACCATCCAGTTCGAAGCATCACAGTCGATCAGCGACCTCAACACACAAAGTGCATCTGATCCTCGTCACCTGTCCAAGAACGATGAAGAGGTGAGTTTACATTGTCTTCAGTTTCACAGGCAGTCAGCTAATTTATAGGATTGGTTTGCTGACATGCGGGGTGTCGCCCGTCAGCTCAGCTGACCTTGGCTTGTCCACGCGTTTGTGAGGTACTATTCGATTTTTGCTACATTGTGTCGATATACAGGCACCTGTGACTTTGCCATATCGTGATCTTCTGTTCTTACCGCGCGTACATACTCCATGATGCCATATGTCAAGACCTTTGAAAATAACAGCTTCATTCTCACACAGGATATTTCTGGTCCATACAATTAATCATTCGACGAGAAATGCACACAGCGCCAATTATAAATACTTGGAGTGGTGAGCTCTGGAGTGCAAATATTGTGCATTCGTGGCGTGGGAACCGCACGTGATCACAAGTTCAAATATTATAGGCTTGAGCGCTGAGCTTTCTTTCACATTCACCATCACCTTCGCTTCGCTCCTTATGGGAGCATTTGGGCCGTGGGCCCTGGCGTTGAGTTTTGGTTGACTCGCTGCTTAATAATGTCGTTGACGTTTGGCTGCAAGTCTTTTTTCAACATCCCTACAACAAATGTGGCTGTTACATGAGCCATCAAAGTCGCACTATTCGATGTCTTGCGATCACACATAGAAGAACTCCGACGAGTATGGGTCAACGCCGTATTGGAAGTGTCATTTTGCCCATACTAGCTCATAATCTCCAATGATACACCTCTGCGACGTCAGCAGAACAGTGGCCTATGAATATGTTAGCGACAACCATCATACATCCTGCATGGCGACAGCGTTTGAGGCAGTATGGTTCCTGTTTTTAAGTTCCATTTTGCGGGCGTGTCACGATGACAGAAGTATCACACTAGAAAATTGTGATCGACTGCACTGCAGGAGACACAAAGAAACACCTGTGGTGATATTTATCTGCAAGCATGGAAGCCCATACCATGCTGTAACCCGCGTAATTGCTATGGTGCACAATTCCCCGCCCATGAATCTCACGGCCTCGCGCGTCGACCTGAACTTCGTCCAGGCATGTTGTGCTGTAAATGTCAAATTCTTGGAGGAAAAGCATGCCCGCAGTCTCAAACACCGTCTTGTAATTAATCAATTAATCAATTAATCAGTGCGAGGGACTCGCGCACATGACTGTCAAGACTATAGGGGTCGATGTTGTGGCCCGTAGCATATGGTTAAGAATGCCAGTGAGGATGCCCAGGTTTGGGGGATTAACTCCATCTCCGTAGAGTGGTATGTCATGGTCGGTTGGACGTAGATGGGACGTATGAGCATCTCTATAGTAGGGCCACACTCACAACCATCGAAATTCGACTGTGTCGATTTTCGTGATGTTGGATCTGTCATTCGACAATTGCGTGGGGCGTTACAGTCCATACTCCTATTCCCAGTATTTTTGCTCTGTCCCGAACACATTGACGTGGCTTTCGATCTAACCAAATTCGATTTAGGCATTTGTATTAACAAATGCCATCGCTTGAAGACTCTTGACGACTTTAACAATCTTAGCGTGGTAACTTGAAGGGCTGGCAAAACTGTTCTCTCATGTTAGTACGCCCGACGCATGTGGCTGCAATCGAATACTTGTCCATGATTTGTGAGCTTTCGTTTCTTATTCACGAACATGGCTCACCCAGAATCACACAAACCAAGACACGAACACAGTCCAATGTGAGTTTATGTGTTGTATCGCTGCTGCCAGTTGTTGCGTGACTGTTGTTGGTAATCCCAATCAGTCAAACACGCTCTGCCCGACCTCGGTCTAATTGACAACTCTATAGTATATGGTTGGCGATCTGCGGGCATTACAACTTAAAATTTGCTAAGATGCGGAACGGTAAGACAGTGGCCACATATAGCCACGCATTGAACGAATTTGACTCGGCTCCCAGACTTCCAGAACGTAGCGCAGATCATGCTTGAGCAAAATTACAGTTCAGCGGGATCTATCCTTGCAACGAGCCTCGCTATTATTTCCCAAGGTGAGCTGTGCAGACATGACTATTTTTTTTTTACCAACACTTTCAAAGATACATCGCAGAGTACAACATTCCATATATAGATAATCTGCTTGAGCCTCCTTCAAGGCTCCGTTCGTTTCCTACAGAACATGACGAATCCGCTTTCATTGCATGGGAGATAAACCGCATGATAGCACAATCAAGTGGGATGTTTAGGTTTTGGAGACTTCGCGGTGCTTCGTACGTCCCATTTACAAATAGTTTGCAATACGGTTCAACGCTATATCCAGAACGATTGAGAACGCGCTTCAAAATCAATCCCCAATCGAATACTAGGTGGACACCAGTTCTTCGAACGGGCAAAGGTAAGTGATCTGCTACGCGTTCCTTTGGGCCATGACAAGCTAGTCTTCTACTCAGAGTCTTCTACTTAGAATTAAAGATATCTAGGTACACCTCCAGCTCGTTGACAATCCAAGCTTTGAGCCAGCATTTTTTCGCGCTATCAATAACCCTTCACTGGGAATCGGAGACGAGGTGAGGGCCGATTATAGTCAATTGTTGTCTCTTCGGCCCTATCTACTGCTGGTAGTCCCGCAGGGAAATTTTTTCACGAGCACAGACACTTGGAATCTCCCCTTTGACTCTTGTCAAATGCATCCACGACTCTATAATTCGAAACACTCAAAATTAAATATGAGGTCCTCACTAGCTCACTAAAGAAAACTCTGGACACTTGCGACGCTTGTACACCGAACGGCAAATTCACCCCGAGATGCTGAGCATCGTTGGTACCGAACAAGTGGTCGCGCTATATGACATGTGAATTTTGTGTGTCATACATCTTGATCTTGATTTGTTCGGCTGCTAGCTTTTTTTGACTATCTGAACGTCCGTCCTAGGTACTATCATGCCATGTGATGCCGTACACTGCGAGCTTATCATAGAGTTCCCCACGCCCTGGCTTGTTTGTTCCCACTCACCATTTTTACTGACAACAAGTAATTTTACAACCCCTCAAATGCGCAAAAACTTGTCTTTCGCAGTGTGTGCGATATCATCAAAATTTTACACCCAGCGACAGGAACTTCACCAGGAAATTGCAGAGTTTGCATAGAAACTCGCGTTTAGCGTACCTGCCAAAGATTATCAATCCCTTTAAATTCTGCAGGCATATCTCCTCCTCACTCTTTGTAGATGCGTGTTCGTAGAGCGTTATGAGTATGACAAGACTTGGTTATTACTTGGAATGGCCATTAGGTTTGTCTCTATTTATTTCGTCGACAGTGTGTACTCAGTGACGTCTGTCATTCAGGATGGCGACAGACCCGACCCTGCATCGGAAGACATCGATGACCAGGCGAGATAAGCCAGGATGTTGGGCTCGGGATAAAGAAGTTCACGACCGTGAGCGAACATGGCTCTGCCTGAGTATTACTTATATTTGCGGCGCTTTTGTTCTTGTATTTTTCTGGCGCGCTGGGTCGATATGCTCGGTTCGGGAGGGATCTTGCGTATGGGTGGTGAGCATTTCATTGACAATTTGGTACTGATAACTATGCCTATGGGCTCTTCTTCACCTTCATTATGCTTTATGCCGTTTGTACATGCATGCCATCATGCTCTGTGATCTCCTAAGCCGAGTGCGTTGGAGAGGATGGAGAGATGAGAATGAGAGAGTTAGGGTTATTGAGTTGACTGACGGAAGGTGTTTGTGCATAATAATTTTATTGAGCGAAGTACGAGATCGTTAGTTGACCACTTTCCTGGTTGGGAGTGGAAAAAGAAAGATTTTTGAAAAAACCAGATGCAGAAGGGACAACCCGTACTGCTCGATGTGCTCGTCCACGGAGCTAATGCTATGAAGTGCGGGAAATATAATACGGAAATCACAATGCGGCTTACAAAGCCCTAGATCCACGTGTCCCGCCGTCCCCTATCCCACCATCTATCCCATTATCAACCTCTCCTGCCGTCCAGACTGTCATGGAGGGTGCTGATAATAGTAGAGTTCGTCTCCTTCGATAGCAGCTAGCACGCTCATGATTACGATGGTGTGATCATGATAAAATGTGTGAGTTTATTCTCCTCCACTGGCAATAGCAGCTAGCACGATGATGATGACGATTGGGTGACGATGAGATGTGTGACAGCGGCTGATGTAGAAGGGTAGCTGACGTAGCAGACGGAGCGGCGAAACCAACGGCTAGCCCGGAATCTTCCGACCAAATATCAACCATTTCCAACATAAAACGAAAACAGCAAGATCACGAAGAACGAAACAAATTCAAATAATTTCGTTCACTGATGCGGCTGACGTGCAATTCTCGACGGCATCACGGAGGTCTTGTGCACGCTACAAGTTCTCTATGTCGACCTGGAAGTTGTCTAGAACGCTTACGTCGCTGATGCCATGGGGCAGGAGAGGACTTGGAGAAGAATTACCAGTCCTGCAAACATAGCTGTTGCACCCGGGCTAGCAAGACGTGAGATTGCGATAGAGTGCCCACCATGGGTAGCCCAGATGAGCACAGAGACAGTTTTATTGTTATTAGTCTGCATTCGACCCATCTAAAGTGAGTGGAGCACTGTAGACAGCGTAACATGCACAGTGAGCTTGGCGACCAGGCTGACTGCCTCCTGAAGAAGGTCCGCGCTGCAATGTTCTGTAGTAGAAAGATTGATAGGGCTGCCATCAACTCGGAGACAATAAAAGCGCCGGCTGACTCACCCGACGACCTGTCACCACGGTAAAAACTGCTTTCCTTCATTGTCCCCAATTGCAGGCTCCCGCCGAAACCGGCTAAACTGGTGTTCCTTGATGTCCTCTTCTTGTGTCCTCGGGGAGACAGAAATGGGGCTGGTCCCAGCACCATTCATGAGGTCAAGACCAAGATACCTCGCGAGCCTCTGCCGTTGATTATCAACCCGGCCCTTCTGTCACAACTTGGCCTGTGCAATCCAGAACGCGATCACCCAGGCTCTGGCTACATTCAGCGGAGCTGCTGTCAAATCATCAGGAAAGCTTGCAGATGCTTGCAAAAACTGTCAGGAGCAGCCAATGAGGTTTTATTTGCAGTTTGCAAGAACGACATGATCAGGTACGACAGCGCAGGCACGCGCTTAGTAAGCGTCACCCACCATGCCCCTATTGTCAGGGGGTTCAAATACCCATGATGATGTAATTAAGGGTGATATATCCCACGTTCTGGCTGAAGGACTAGCTTGCGCCTGCACATGAATAGCGGCGACTAAGTAGACGTGCACCTTAGGAAGCGCGATCCACATGGAGCAAGGAACCCTTACCCTTAAGAACAGCCTCCCTCGACTGTGCTGGTGCGTATTCCATCTTCTGTACCACATAATGTCAAAGGTTTCATGCAGCCCACGTCCTCCCAGAACCCCGTCACCCGATATTCCGCTACCCGATCCTCCGCAAGCCAGTGGATCTTGTGCCAACAAACCATTTGGATCTGTGCTCACGCAAGAAACGCCAATATCAAGAGAATGTCTGGCTCAACGCCATTTGCAGTCTCTCAACTCCCTCCGCAGGATGAGATCAAAATTCTGCTTGCCGAAGAAATGAAAGACAGATTCGTAGGGCCAATGCCCCCTGCAAAAATTTATGGATGGACTATCTGCCGCGACTACCCTGGCCAGGAAGCCTGTCCTCACATTCATGAGCAGCATTTCCGTAAAATACCAGAAGGTGCATCCGAAAAGTCATTCTACACGCTCCTGGTAAGGAATAGTAAAATTACTTATAAATATTAATCTGATAGTTTTTGTGTTCGTCAGGCAGATGCTATGAAGCCATTCACACCCGGATTTGAGGTCATTGACACTAGTCAACACCCTAGCAGCGGCGTTGAATACGGCGGTTTTCAAATTAAGACCTGACGTAGCACTCTATCCCAAAGACTGTGGTCGCACCAAGATCAACCGACTTTGAACTCATGGCTATGTTTTTGGAGGTCAAAAGTTTGGATAAGCATGATGCGTTCGCGGATCCTCCGCAGGATACGCTCTCTAAATTATTGGGCGAAGAACTCGACATATTTCTGAACAATTGGAAATTCGAGTGCGACACGACAAATGGAATGCTCACTAGGGGTCAGATGATCGCATATGCGCTCACGCAGATTGGGTGTCAATTCCGCCAATTTGCATTCTCGGTCGCAATCATCGGCAAGCACGCTCGCATTTTACGCTGGGACCGTGGAGGGGCTGTGGTGACTGAGAGGTTCGACTATACGGAACAACCTGGGCTCCTTGCCGATTTTTTTTGGCGGTTTAGCCTGGCCAGTGCAGAGAGGATGGGGTTGGACCAGTCAGTAACCGAGGTTGAAGCTGATTTTGATACCCTTGAGATTTGCACACCAAGCTCAAATTGCCAACGTCAACCAAGTTGTTTTATTATGGGGTGCCAGATGATGACATAAGCCGCGCTCATCGAGACGATCCTGATCTGACCGCGCTGTATCGTTACATTGGTCCGCGTCCTCACTTTCCGTCACGATCCCTAATAGGTCGTGCCACGCGTTCACTTCCTGTATACTGATCCAGTAAAGGACCGTGTTGTATACCTGAAAGACACGTGGAGGATCGACTCCAATGATATGCAGAAGGAAGGCGATACCTACCGCCAACTGCACGGTTATCAAGTCCCTCACATCGCGCCCTTTGAACGTGGCAACGACTTAGAAGGTCACGGGTCACGTACAGTGACGCATGAATATGTAGAGGAGTCGTGGGTGTGCGGTATGCCTTTTGCCACTGGTCACGTACACTATCGCATGGTGCTCGGTGTGGTTGGACGCGAGCTGTCGATATTCCGATCCACATATGAGCTCGTGAGCGCGGTGGCCGACGCCTTGGAAGGTTGGTTTCCCAATTTTGCGCCTCCCTCCACGGATATTCATTTTCCCTGCAGCCCACGAGGATGCCTATCATAAGGCTGGTATTTTGCACCGGGACGTGAGCGTCGGAAATCTCATTGTCACAGACGATGGGGAGGGTCTTCTCATCGACTGGGATTTGTGTCGGAAGCGCGGTACAATCCAAAAGAGGACGTCATGACCGGACGGTAAGTGGCGTTTGTGCTATCCTTCTTGTCATAAACTTACGATTGCTATAGGGCACTTGGCAGTTCATGTCAGCAGCATTATTGAGTGATCCGACGAAGCATCAGGACTTCGAAGATGATCTCGAGTCCTTTCTTCACGTGCTGACATGGACAGCAATACGCTACTGTCCGAGTAATTTGACTGCTCAGGAGCGCTCTTCGTATCTTTCATTAATCTTCGACGAAGTACAGGAGAAGAATGGTGTATATGTCGGCGGTGATTGCAAATGTGGCCGTCTAGTAAGAAACACGTATCTCCCGTCCGAGTTGGTTGCATTCTCAGCCGGTTTCACCTCTCCTCGACCTCCTGAGGGAGATTAACCCTCCTTTTGCCGTGCGTTACCAGGTCCCTCCATCCAAAGAAGACTTTCATACCTATGAAACGACAAGGACTTCCGTTGAGGACTTGACCACTCCGTTTTGGGCCAATATCCTTGCCGGCTTGACCTACGGACAAGTATCAACAGAAGCTTGAGAATCTAAAAAGGCGTTCTTGGTTCCCTTTGATGATTCGGGCTTACCTGCAAAACCCAGACCTTACATGGCCCACGGATGACAAAGCCGAGCGCTTACCCCTAGGAGCCAAGTCCACTGCTACGAAGAGGCAGAAGGCACAGAACTCGAACCGTATCAATAGTCAAGATGCGGCAAGGGCCCACAGCCGTTTTCCTGGGGAGTTGGACGATACAGCAGGTCAGAAGTCAACTGCTAAGGAAAACAGGTTGGTTAAAGCGTCGAAAGGTTGCGTGATGCTTTGCGTTCAACGGTCTGGCCGGTGTAAGGATAGCAGAGACGAAATAGAATGCCTTCCAGGAACACCAAAGGGCAGCTGAGAAGATAAGGGTGTACTCGGACGGATTGGTGATAGACGGAGGAGTTGGCATGATTCCGTACTCTGCATTGTGTAGCAAGACTTGGATACATGTTCACCATGTCGATTGTGATGCAGGTCTGCTGGACACAAGAGAAGTTACCAGTTGCCATGTGGGAAGACGGGACTCGCAGCCTAAACATCAACGACATCTTATGGGCCGCGAGTCAACCAAAACGCAACGTCAGAGCCCACGGCTCAACAGTTCCATAAGGGAACGATAGCGAAGTGTGAATGGTGAGGGAATGAAAAGGGTGAATGCGCGACAATTTAAACCTTGTGATTATGTGTGGTTCACACGCCACAGGCGGAGTTTCAACATATGACTTACCTATCAGTTGCCAGTGGTGTACCGTGGGATAACCATCGAGTTATTCACGTGAATAACTAGGTGAATAGCTCGAGTGGTGAACACTAAGTAGCCAGTTGCACAGGAAATCTGAGATGATGTAATGAAGAGCTTACAGTCGTTTGCATTAAAAATTTCACCCCTTGATTTGGACACAACATCTTTGTATGTATTTGGCGGATGTAAATTTGTCGAGTTTCATCTTGTTTATACCAGGGTAATTGGACGAGCGGGGCTCCTCAGCAAACTCGTTCCTCGGGGTCTACCCGTGTTTATCCTTGGGGGCTCCTTTAGTGGAGCCTAATCTTATGACAGTCTATATCTAGCGAGACTCGGTGAAATTGGGGCCTTGCCTTTTCTCACTCGATTTACTCGTCTTGCTAGGTACACTGTCAGCCCTTCTGTCAGTTTAAGTTTTCTCACTCGATTTGCTCGTTCTCTTGAGCAATTGTAATGCTGAGGTGCTCAACCTGGGGTCGGTTGTTTCGACCTTCATATGACTAAATTGACCGCATTACAGGGGTAACTGATCCTTTTACATTTAGGAGCCTAACAGAAATTTGATTTGTAAAAGTCTTATTCTATGTGTCCACCTGTCCGCATCTGCTTATGTAAGCAGGGTCGCCCCTGTCTTGCTACCTCACAGTGATCGATTTTTTTCACAACACAACGGTCGATTGGCTCAGCATTTTAATGATTTAAATACACTCAATCTCAAGCTATATAAAACTAAAATCGATCTATGTACATTTTGGAGCAACAGATCTCTGATATATGGAGTCTTGTGTCAAGTTTGCCCACCTGTCCGACCCCATCAGCAAGTAGAGTTGCAGGAAGTATAACACATCTTTGATGATGATCAAAGATGTGTTATACTTCATGCAAACTCTACTTGCCTTGGTATGTTCATACCTCTTCACTTATGATGATACTGATGAGTTACTGGCTTTGAAGCACTCAACCCCAATGTCAAGATTGCATATGCCGAACATCAGTGGGACAAAGAGTCGTTCGATGAGTACTACCATGATGTGGCCCCGAACTCTGTTGCTGTAGAGGCTGACAACGAACAAGGGACATCTGACTTGCATGGTCAGTATGGCCATTCATGGGTGCTTGCAGCTGTTCAAGCACGTCTCACATCAGATCGCACCAAGCTGGGACCCTCGCGCTGAACTTACGGCTTATATTGGAAGTCCTCTCGAGCAGACTGATGATGTCGTAGGTTGGTGGGGGGTGAGTGTTTATGCTATCACAAGCATACGAGTTGACTAATGAAAATTTGTCAGCACCACCAGTCACAGTACCCGACTCTTTCACGCATGGCCAGGGACTACTTGTCCATACAAGGCTCTGGTACACCCTCAGAACGTGCCTTTTCAAGTGGCGGATTGACGGGAACCAAACGATGGAACCGTCTCAAAACAGACGTGTTTGAGAGCTTGCAGTTGTTGAAGAGTGCGTACCGCAATGGTCATATCTCTGCTGCCAGTGATGCCGAGCAGCACTTGGATGCACTGATTGCTGCCCTCCATGATGATGCAGATGAAGATAGCGAGTAGTTTTATTTTATCTTTGTTGTATAGCTACTATCTTGCACTACTCTACGTCTCGGCCAAAATTATTTTTTTGGGCTTAGATGTGGATGGTCCAGTTCAGGGTTCGGACCCTTTATGAACTGGAACTGGATCGTTATTGGACTGGACCGATGGTCCGGTCCACGGTTCTGTTTGTGGAGAGAACTGAACCTATAGTTCGGTTCTTGGTTCAAAGAATTTTGCCAGAGAACTGGACCAACCGGACCCGTCATCACTACCTTGATGACATATGTCCCTTATGCAAGGTCTGCGGAAGAACGCCACCAGCCGCCTGGGTATGTGTTGCGATACTTGACCAGTCCATTTTCCGTACAAACAATGTTCGTGATGATCGAGTTTTTCAGCCTTCATATGACTTGCCTTGTGTCGAATAGACATCTCACTTTCAGATAAAGAATTTACTAGAGGTCATTAATATCATCGAGATAAAGTGATTAATGATGATTGATCAACTGGGGCTCAGTAATTTCAATCTTCATATTAATTTAAAATTGCCAAATTCCATGGGGTTAAATTATTCCTGTACATTTGGGAGTCTACTGGAAATTGAGTTTGTAAAATGTCTTGAAGGAATGTCCAGCCAATGAACTTCTCAGACTTTCCGACAAATTTCATTCGGACTTTCCTTTGAGCTCGAAGTCAAAGTGAACGTTTTTTGTATACTAACTTACTTAGTTCAAGTCTCACAGACGTCACTTAATATAATTGTCGTCATCATCTCGAGCTCATTACTGGCCAATCATGATTTTGGGTCAATTTTCTGCTTCGGTATTTGTTGACAACAAGCCACTGCCGGAATATAAAGAAGTCAAGTCCAGAATGCTGAAAGAGAATTCGATGACTTGTTGGATTGCGTCAGAAGCAGGCAAGGTATAGTATTAATCATACTTGTGCTTCTTTCCTGGGTGTCATCCTTCAATGAGGGTCAACCTGTTGATACAGCCAGGTTCGCTTCGCAATCTTGCACTTTTACCTCCACATTCTTTCCTGGGTGTCACTCCTCCATGGGAGTCATTCTGTGATAAGGCCCAGTGAGTTTCGCAATTTTGCACCTTTTACTTAGCTGAGTTCACTTTTTTGCTGGTGTCACTCCTCCATGGAAGTCATCCTGTTGATAATGGTACCTGCTATTGACAATAGCCAGCACATTATCACAAGATGACACCAATAGAGGAGTTTGCTGTGATTAAAAAGCCCTCGCCTGTTGAATTGTCATATACTTCAAAAATATCTATTAGTCAATAATACAGGGCATCTGTGGCTACTATAGGTAGGAGGAAGAACGCGAAATAAGTATAAAATTGTATGGGCAGAGGGGAAGTGAGTCAATGTAACCACGAGAATAGTGAAGATTTAGATATGAAAAGATAGCCCCATGGAATGGAAGGGCACAGGCGCAGAGTCTAGATAAGATATGTAAAAATTCAAGGCACTACCAAAATGATGTAGAATCAAATATGAAGAGATAGCACCATGAGCGAACGAGACGAGAAAAGACAAAGCAAGATGACTGTTAACACCCCAACTAAGGTTGGCTGATGCTAAGGCGAAGGACTGACAACTAATGTGCGAGACTTAGATAGTCACTGCAAACAACAAGGAAAATTCCCTTGTATCTAAGGACACAGAGAAAGTGGGTGGAAAATCGACCCAGAACATGAGTAATGATAGCACCAGTGGATTGGAAAGGGCGCAGGGCGCAATGAGTCATATATAAGATATGTACAAGGCGGGTGGCATGCACAGTGATGACTTCAATGTCTCAATATAAAGTTAGTACAAACACAATCAATTCATATACATTGAGGAGCAACAGGCCTGCGGGGCTGGACTGGGTAGAACAAACGAGCTACAAACCAGTTTGGGACGACCATCCTGGCACGGTGTTTACCTTCAAATTTACTTCTTTAGGTGGGTCATTTCTACTACATGTGTACCCAACTCACGCTACCAGTAGTGGATAACTCATGAAGCTTTGCAGAAGTTGTACCTTGCGAGGCTCAAGTGCATTGGCTTTGACCATGCATTAGATCAGCGCATTAGAGATGAGGTGTCTCACATGACACATGACAAAGCTAAGTGGATTGCCCTGCAAGCACTGCTGACTTCAAAATGAAGAAGACTGATGAAGTGAAGAAGAGGAATCGAAACTGTGGGGAAAATGAGCAAGAAACCAAGGAATCACAGTGAGTCCTGAATGCAAGCAAAAATCTACCAAGGACAGTGTTAGTTTGACCTCTACTTCGCTAAAGCACCTGACTGACGTTCATTCCCAACTTCGCACGCTGAAGTATTGCCATTGCATGCAAATTGTAGTAATTGGACCTGCAGGGGCTGCATAGGAGGAATCACAGTAAGTCCTGAATGCAAGCAAAAGTCTACCCAAGGACAGCTACTGAGAAGGAATCCTATTAGGAAGACTCAAGACATGATCTGAATCTAAAGCTTGGTACAAACGCAGTAGATCTATGTGCATTTAGAAGCATCAGACCTCTGATCTGTGGAGTCTGCTGAAAGTGTGCTCAGGTGTCCGCATCTGCTTATGTAAGCAGGGTCGCCCCTGTCTTATTGCTCACATGATCGATTTTTTCAGCCTTCGTACGACTTGCCTTGTGTGTTCGAATAGACATCTCAATGGGGGGTTATTGAAACATCGGGATTCCAATGGTAATGCTACTTTTGTTCAAAAAATCATGTTCTAAAGTTATGAGTGAAGAGTGAGTGTAAGGTTGCCATGCTGAGGTGCTCAATCAAAGGTCGACTGTCTTAGCCTTTTGATGACTGTAATGTCTCAATCTCAAACTAAATACAACCACAATCGATCTATGTACATTTATGAGCAACAGGTCTCTGATATGTGGTGTCTTGCTTCAAGTGTGCCCACCTATCCGCATTTGCTTATGTAAGCAGGGTCGCCCCTGTCCTGTTGCCTCACTCAAAGGTTGATTTTTTCAGCCTTCATATGACTTGCCTGGCTTCAAATGAAACTTGATTCTAAGGTTATTAACCACCCTGGATGCGATGGCAATGCTTATTTTGTCCGAAAAAATCATGTTTCAGAGTCATGCTACCCCCTCCCCCTACCTACTCCACCATGAAGCATGATTTCATGTATATACTGATGTAAAAAGGATTTGAATAGTGTTTTTGGATCATAAAAATAGATTGAAGATGTGTTCAAAGTGTTTTTGGCCAATATGAAATGTAATGTGTAAGTTGACCTCATACCCCCCCTCAAAGATCGATTTTTCTGGCCTTCCCATGACTTGCCATGACTCCAAATCCATTTTTCCTGGGGGCTCTTGATAGCTGCGAACAAGATGGTCAAGCCCGAATTGTCAGAAAAAATCAGGTGGTCGAGATACAGAAGGTCCTCCTCCCCCCCCAAACTCACATATCTTCCTATTATGTAAATACCGGTATGTAAAAGGGTGTCCCTACTGTTTTCCAATGATATAAATCGATTGAAAATAATACCAGAGCGATTTGAGACCATACAAAGTGACATGTGCGAATTTGTCACATACCCCCCTCAAAGATCGATTTTTCTAGCCTTCCCATGACTTGCATGCCCTCCAAAAGCATTTTTCCAGGGGGCTCTCAATGTCCCTGAACACGATGGTAAAGCCCAATATGTCAGGAAAAATCAGGTTGTCGAGATATAGAATGTCCTCCTCCCCCCCCCTACCCCCTATATCGCACCACACTCAAATCTGACTCAAGACCGATACTGAAAATAGTGTTCCTACTGTTTTTCAGTCGTACAAATCGATTGGAGATGATCCCAGGGTGTATAGAGGTCGCCAATATTGCGGTTTGGTGGAGAGGGCAAAAAAGTCAGTATTTCGACCATATCTCCATATTCCAACCGCCGTTTTTCTTAATTCTTGGTTCATATGATTCCTGGAAGATGCCTCTAAATGATGTACCAGCCCAGGAAAAGATATTTTTTCCAAAGTTTGAAACCTATTTCTGTTTTGACCATATAAGTAAGATGTGTGTGCTGGAGGTCAAGAAACACTGAGCGGTACCTGTAAAGTCCTAAAGGATTATGAAGGAGGGAACCACAGCATACACATGGCATCCGATTCAACACCGTGTAAAGTCCTAAAGGATTATGTGTCAGGAGCATAGGCACGGTGCGATATTGTTAAAGCAACCGAGACGAGAAGGCTGCATGAGCAGGGCATTCCACACTTTCAGAAGAATTTACATATTACGAACTTCGCACTGCAGCCTGGCGTCGTTGACATGGATAGGTCATCCTGGTGCTGCTGTCAGACAACATGTTGTGCGAGAAAGCACGAAACTGATAAGACGTTATGAATGATGTTTGAATTTTAAATTGCCTTGCTGTGTGGTATAATAATAGAAGCTAGTGCGCCGCCACAGCATCATCAGTGCACTTCTCAATGACCATAAGACTTTGATTTACTCACATGCGACCGGTCTCTGCGGATTCTCCTTCAACTTCAAAACACGAGTCCGGTTTCTGTCGCAGAGGACGCGCCCTTACAGCACGCTCCCAAGAATATCTCGATATCAAATACCATGCACGCACTTCAAACGACTTTTTTGGAGGTTCACCGTGACTCTGATCATGTTAGCTTGTCCGAGTTTGACAACATAGATATACACGTAGAAAGCGGTGCGCGTCACTTAGCCAAATCGGTCTGGGAAAATTTTAAACCTTAACCATACGTAGTTCATCTGCGCGTGGTCCATGTTCGTACTAACGGTACCGTGGAGCCAGAATGCATTTCACTCCACATAAACCATCTATACAAAAGTTAGCTACGGCAAAGATGCCTTCAAGCATCTTGATCACGGTGGGCTCCTCCAACAAAACGAGCTAATTTCTGCAACAAAATCGCGAGAAAGCTTCGCTGATCTTTGATAGGATCAGTGCCCCACGCCTTGTGAGGGGTCTGCGAACAATGTTCGAGGATGGTTCTGCAGACGTCTTTGTAGGACTGTGCACGACGTTCGTGAATATCCGAAGACTCCGTGTGTTCATCCTTCAAAGTCGTGACACATGCATATCCAGAGAATTGCATTCCATACGTCGCAAGCTCGTCCCTGTTCTTATTCCACCACTCTGCCATCACAGGACGAAAGTCTTCCAGGCACGTCACCACCATAATAGTGGGTACTTTGCTATCACGGACAACTGCCGATAATATCTTGTAGTGAGTCTGCAGAGCCTTTGTTGCTCGCGTTCCGCGCACACAGTATATAAGAAGATGGACACCATCTTCCTGGTTTAGACCTCGGAGGAATGTAGTCAAGTTCCTTTCAGCTATCACCGCAGGCACTGTGCCTTCTGAGCCTTCATTTAACCCTGACGACATCATGATGATCAGTAAGCCGCTCTAGACCAAATCCTTGAGCATGAAAGAATGCGTACCTGCTGTATCCCACAGCCTGAAGCGTTGTCCGCTGATCGTCACATCATAAGGAACATGTGTAGTTGTACACGCGAGGGCATCAGGAGATGTTTTCGCTGCATCACGACCCATGATAAGGTTTATGAGCGAGCTTTTGCCTACCCCACTCTCCCCATAGAGTACCACGTTACGCGGTCGACCTTGAAGTGCCTAAGGAGACATCAATCACACCCATTGACCGATCTTGCAGATCACGAACCTGCTGTGAATATGGACTCCTTGTGTCTACTGCACCTGTCGTGTCTGTGGAGTTGTAGCTATCAGACATCTTCTCTGATAGACATAATGATTAGTTGTGCAAAAAGAGAATAGCACAATCCTACTTCGCTTGCGATCCGCTCAGTCTATTGAAAAGATGGATAACGGCTCCTGGGCGTTTAAATATTGGCTCCGTGTCGAACGCTTTCGGCCAGATCCAACGTGTTGCACCCTGTACCACGGTTATGAGGGCTAAGCTACGGGAGCATCCGATTAAAGAACACATAAGGACTTCACATCAAAACGTGGCAAGCATCGAAATAGCCAGATTCCTCTTTTGAATCGTGTGGTAGGCATGGCTTGTGCATGCCCGTCTAGACCCTGCAGTTTCATTGCAAATATTGGGTATCGCCGTTGACTCGCTGAGAGATCGATCAAGGAAGCTGCCGGGTGCCTTCCCTGTGGGCGTTTAAAATGTAAGAGGATGATGTAAAAATTATGAAAAACGCACCGAGAGGGCGTGGTTCCACCACCTTTCGCATCACATATACCAGTTACAAATAGAATCATTCTGGGCAATTGTACGACACAGCGCAGAATCGCTATAGTACAGGTACGAGTCCAACGTGAAGGGCCGAATGTCACTGACCGAAAGTCTAGCATAAGATGGCGTCAATGTCGACTCGGAACGTTGTTATCTTTGGAGAAACAGGAGCAGGCAAAAGCTCTGTCATCAACCTGATGGCTGGCCAAGAGATTGCGCACATATCGCCCGACTCTCACCGTTGTACTCTGCATTGGACAGAGTACCAAATAACCTTCGAAAATGGGACTCGATACAAGGTGTTTGATACGGTCGGCCTCGAAGAGCCTCGTCTACAAACCGGAGAGTACCTCTCCGCAATTTCAAATGCACATGGCCTCATCAACACTTTGAAAGAACGTGGAGGTGTCAATCTCTTGCTCTTCTGTATACGTGGAGGTAGAGTCTCGGCAACCATGCAGAACAACTATCGGTTGTTCTTCGAATTTCTCTGCGAGGAAAAAGTCCCACTCGCACTAGTCGTCACAAACCTCGAAAGAGAGGCAACGATGGAAGACTGGTACATGCGGAATGTGAGCTCCTTGGAGAAGTATAACATCAGGTCCGCGGGACACGCGTGCATAACTGCGGCGAATTTACTGGACGGGAGGCATAAAGACAAGTATGAGGAGTCGCGTGGAATAGTCCGTAGAGTGGTTGAGGCCCATTGCAATGCATCCATGGAAGGGTGGACCGGTGGTCAAGGATGGCTTGCATCGTTCATTACCAAGCTTGTGGAATTTGTCGTTGGACGTCCCAAAAAGACGGATGTCGTTGGGATTCTCTCAAAACGATGTGGAATGGCCAAGGAGGTGGCCCTGCAGGTAGCGCAGCACATTAAATCCGAAAATCCGAGTCAGTCGTAGAATAATCTCAGACTTGTCATCGACACTAGTATCGGGTACATACTACTACTACTGTGATGTACGTGTAGCATTCCCTCGCACGTAGTAGTACAACAACCACTTGAGCCGACAACTAGTGCTTGAGGCAGTGGCAAGAAATAACATTACGAGGTATGCGTTATCTAAAGTTCATGGACATCCTGCAGACAAAATCAGTAAAGATACTAGTTGACTCGGACTTAGGCCGATATAAATATTACATACCTCAATCCGACAAACTTCTCAGCACATCTACCAGCTCCACTTGCACCTTCTCGATCCTTGTCGCCTGCTTTTGCGCCTCTCCTGAATTGTGCAATCTCAACGCCGTCCGCGCTTCTCGCACGAACGCGTATGATTGTATTGTGGACTCTTCAACCTCTTCGACCTCTCTCGAAGCCTGTGAGGATGTCGTATCATCAGCAATCAGACCAGAAAGGTCAACACAAGAAGCCCGTAGAAGAGCAAGGTCTCGTAGGGTGTCGTGAAGAGGAAGTGGTGTTTCTTTTGGTGCCATGATCGGAGTCCAAGCACTGAGCTACTTAGTAAGCTATTTTACGATCAAACAACTGCCCTGCCCATCTCATATAGTTTCCAATTCGCTCACCACTGGCAATCACCTCAGAGTCACGAATCTATCCATCCCTGGGGCATGCGCAATCGGATCAGACCTTTACCGCACTTCTTGAAATATCAAATACTCATGCATTGCGCGCACTCGTGGAACTCCTTGTATGAGATGAAGAGATAGGATCGAAGCCTTCTCGAATCTCGAAGCAAGATAAAGAAAGGTAGGCGGCGTCGTCATCTTTGCCTCGTCATCTGGTTACTCAACAATAGTCATAGGTACTTCAGTGGCCCATGTATCAACATACTGGTACAGGAGCTTCAGCGCACGAGTGATAGATTTCAATATCTTGCCATCCTTACTGATTTATATCTTCAGCAATAAACGACATTTCATGCTCTTAAGTGGTGCTTGATAAGGCTCATGGTCTCCTCGTTAAGCGCTCGCTATCAACGATCTTCGGCTTGGAGGTCGGAGATCTGTCCTCGCGAAACAGATGGCTCTGCGCGAATTGGTGCGAGTTGTGCGTTCGAAGCTAAACACAGAAGATGCAGTTTTACTGTCTGATAATGATTTTTCGTAGTGGCAAGAACACGGTTCACCAAGAAGGGAATGATGCGGACTCCAAGAAGATACTGACTTAGCTGTTCTAGAGACAGGGTTGTCCCTCGCAAGAGTTGTCGCAAACGATCTGAATTTACACGACATTCTGCAATTGTAGATAGTTCTTGTTTTTTTAAGAGATATCCTTGTATATATCACTGTCGCCCAAATGCAATGATCACGTGTCTGCTATCTTATAATCTCGAGTAAACTTCGCGAGATAAGCGAGGCAAAATACCACAACTTGAGGCATGCACATGGTATTATGTAGCTAGTCCTGTCATATATATTCGTAGAGAAAACAGTCAACAGCAAATGTTCAATGATTATAGTATCCACCAATCCGTACCGAATATAGCCAGCACCCTGTGGGTAAACAATATGAGATACTTATAAAAACCACACAGACACTATGTGCAGTATGTATGAAACATCGAATGAGATACCGTCCTCACAAAAACAAGCGTCCCAATCTAAAACTTCTCTCCTGGGCCTAATGGGCCCAGCGGGCCATACTTCTCACCGGTACGACTCTGGTCCTCTATTCGTGGGCCGTACGGCCGATGTTGTACGGGGGGCGTTCGTGAACCCGAGTCGGATGACGCGTAGGACATGAGACGCTGTTGTGATGGGTTATCGCTAAGCTGATACCGCGCGGCGTACATCGTGCTCGTAGGCGTCCGTTGCGGGCTCTCATCATCATCAAACCCACTCTCCAACATCGCCTCCAACTCTGCACTGCCAACCACCTTATTCCCATCCGCCCCATGCCCAGACGGTAACAGCCCGGCAGGTGGAGCAGGGAACTGAGCATTGTTCTCGTTGTATCCACCAATCTGCGGACCATAATGATCGTCTTCGGATGACACAAAGGAATACGTGTCTGATCCGTCGCCGTATGGACTACGTGCTTCACTGCGCGCGCTTAGCAGGTCATTTTCAGAAATGTACCCTGCCGGATGCATACGATCAAAGTCACGCCGCCGTCGTTCTTCGCGCTTGAGTTTGCGTAAGCGCGAGCGCTCCCAATCTTCCCAGCGGCGAAGAGGAACAGAGGAACCATCGAAGGTGCCAGAGCCAGCACCATGACCTTCTCCCTTTGTCTCCCCTTCCACTTTCCTGTGACCTATCCGTTAGCACTGCAGCAACTACTTGCACGAAACGAAATGTATGTACCTCGTCTCACCCCATGAGAAGTCATCAAAATGCCAGAATGCATACACGGGAAGAACAAAATTCCACACCGGAAGTGCCACAAGGTATATAATCATCCAGAACACATATACGACCTTCCTCGTTGTTATCAATATCAGCACAGCTGGAAGACCCAGTACAGATACAAGCAGCATGAGTGGGATCGCTTCCTCGAAAGTCGTTGGGGGTTGCATGATCATGCCCACAATGAGGGCATACGTGAGCACGATGGCAATAGGCAGTACGACCGTCCCGAGCAAATCCATGAAGACTACGAATTGCATGCTAAAACAGAATGTTCCGCATAGATTGCGCACAAGAACAAGTTCCATCAGATTGTGGATCGTGCTGTTGATCCATCGACGACGTTGGGAGAGGAGGACCTTGAAAGTATCGGGTACAACAGTCCGGCATTTGGCTTGGGGTAAAAACATCATCTTGCGATTGGGGAATGTACGGAGGAGAATGGTGGTGAGGAAGCGGTCTTCTCCGAGTAGAAGAAGATTTTGTTGGTGTAGCGTGGTGACCTCGCTTTGACTGTATTCGCGTACAATTTCAGGCTTAACAATGAGAGGGATCCAGTCGTCACCCGTCATTTTGCGCGCTTTCAGTCGAAACATGGAAAAACATCCTGGCAAACATGAAACACCACCGAAGACTGATTCGAAGGCTTTGGCTAAGTGATGGGAGATGAAGTATTCGAAGACTTGGATGGCGGTGACCCAGGAATCACGTTTGTTAGCTATGCGAGTTTCCCCGCAGACGCCCATGATCATCTGGTCGTGGTGCATACAGTTGACGAGGTATTTCAGCGACTCAGGGTATACTTTGGTATCGGCATCAACCTGTGGGTACATCAAGACGTGGAAGTAAAGCAGTAGATGAATACGCACCATCAAGCAGACCTCGAAGAAGTCGGGCGTAACACCCATCAGGGTATGGATCTTCCGGAACAAGTCAAAATCAAGAGGGGTCATCCGATCGTTATATGTGACGCGAGAGAAAAAGTTCATGAGAATGAGTTGGCTGTCTCGTTTGCCGCGGTTTCCAGGTTTTTTGTCACTGGTGGCCTCGGCCTCTGTTCCGCACTTGACAACAATGACAGTGGGCGTGCGACGACCAGCAACCGCTGAACGATGTTATTAGTACCAGCCCTTCGCACAAAAAATAAAGGCGTACTGTAGTGACCTGCATAGACCATTGCCCTATTTTCCCGCTTCGTTCCACTTCCAATTGCAAGATAACTCATGGGCGTGGGATTACCGAATCGAGGATCTGCATCCAGTAATCCCACACAAATATCAGGTGTGCTCATCTTCTCTCCTGCGCCAGTGATCATGCCATCGGCCACAACAAAAAGCAGCTTGCGTGCATCGGAGTAAGTCGTCCGCGAAATGGAATCCAGAGTGGAGCGTATAGAGTCTTCACCCTCAGAGTAGCACGTTACGAGGCAGATGGAGAATAGCTCCGCGCCGATTTGCGTCAGAGACATGACAGGTGCAGCTTCTGGTAATAGCGTTGTACTGGAAGATGCAGGGAGGCGGGTGGGGATTGCTTTGACGAGTTTCTTCGACCCATGAGGGCCAGCCCACGGTGCCGTACCCGTGCGGTTGTCAACTGAGATATTTGCACCTCCAGGCATCACCGCCGGACTGATAGCCGATCTATTGAGATGCGACTTGTCCGGAGCACCCGCAAGCTTCGTAGACAGGAACCAGTTAAATACACACGCCATTGCAAAGCGAACAAGGACGAGGGCAAGGATGACGATGAGTCCGACATATAAGAAGAGGGAGCTGACAAAGCAGCCGGGGGTGATCTTGGCAATGTTTCCTGCGTAGTATCGCTGATAGAGGCATGGAACTGCTGTAAGGATATCGGCACGGTTGTAGAATAGACGAGTGCCATCCTTTCCACTGGAGCTCACCCGTGTCTTCAGGATGGTGCGAATTGCGAGATCAACAGGGTCGGAAGCTACTGGACTGGGATGTTGTGTCATGTAGGGATTCATGTTTAGCACAGCACCGTCGATCACGAAGTAATTTGGGAGGGCGGCGACTTGATCCCAGTCGTAACCAAGCAAAAGTGTTGTCTCTTGGATATCGAGTTGGGTAAATGTGGAAGAGGCGTTGATTGGACCAAGAGGACAGTCTGTTGTAGATATACACGGTTGGTCCAAGGCAACACGGAATTTGAGACCTTGGCATGCGTGATATTGGCTGGCAGTACGATAGAAGTAGGGAGTGATGTCCTGTCCTGGCTCTTGCAGTGTGAGTTGATCAAGGTTTACACTTGCGGGACTCTTAGCCTGGGTGACATTGTATACGATGCCGAGTATGCTAAGTGTACCGGGCATTGAGCCAAGAATTGAGTACCGCGAGGGGTTCATGTTAGATGTCTCGGGACACAAGACCTTCTGAGTGCCGACGGTGATGAAGCCAATGATGAAGCATAAGATAGCGATAATAAAACATAGGGCGATTTTCTCTCTCCAAGCCTGGATCTTGCCTTTGTCTTTGAGACCGCCGAGAGAGCTGAGCAAAAAGGATGGGGCCCAAAAAGTAATGATCTGAGCGAATAAGCGCCATGAATCGAAACCGCTACTCCGGGAACCGGTTTGTATAGTACCTGATGCGGAAGGGGCGAGGGATGATTGGGGGTTAATGAGAGGTACTGGTGCGACACTTCGCTCCGGGCGAGTGAGAGTTTTTGCACGACGTATAGTGGTGCCCGTGGGTTGAGGCGGACGATTTGTAGGGACTGGAACATCAGCAGATGCGTACGTAGGCTGTGGTGCGAACCTAGCCGCCATGGCTCTCTCTAGAAAAAAGACTGACTTGTACACCCAGAACGGCACTTTGGTATCTGGGATAATAAAGAGCGGTTAGAAATGAAAGACAATGAAAACGAAAAATCGTGAGCCCGGAGCAGCCAGCTGAATTGACGTTATAGTTGGAAGTCAAGCTCTAGCGTAGCAACAATATTCACTCAGCACGTGAGACTTTGATACGATACAAACTGCAACTACTTTAATTGGTCACTAATGCTTTGTTTGCCAAATAAACTTCGTTGTTCGCCTTAGTGAACACAATAAGAGGCTATACTTTTTCTGCGCCTTAATCGACATTGTTCGCAACCACTATTCTTCAAGGTCAGACGCTAAAAGTGTCTAGGCTATGCATATCAGCTCAAGAGCGTCGTCCATGCCAGTGACTTTCTAGAGGAGTTCAAACACCATCGGCGCTATAGCGCCAATAATATCATAGGGCAATGGGCATAGGGCATAGGGCTTGGGTGATGATTGGAGCTTAAAAACTAAGTTTCCAGTATACTTACTACATTATATGAGACTACCGTGACATAGTAGCGCCCTTTTGACTCTCATGATTTAGACTCACCCACCACTCGACGGACAACTTTCTAAATGCCCAACCCACCTCAGCGCTCCAGATCCAAGGCCGCGGAAAATGGAAGGGGTCAACGAGTCAATACTCCCACGCTCCCAGTGAATACGGCAGCGCGTACGGTCTATGATGACCACTACACCTTGAGTCAACTTAGTCAACAAGACGCAGGGCAGCTCACGAGGGACACAACAATCCCCGAGTGCATTACCCAGCCTGGGGATGACACCTCACAGGTTTGACAAGTCCACTAGTATCTCAATCAACGGCGGTTCCTGATGCATTTTACTTAGCCATCCACTTCTGAACTTCCATCTCAGTGAGGTGTTCCTACCGAATCAAATGTTCATTGATTCAATTCCCTCGTTTTTAGTCCCGAACTGGCACTAGCAGAAGATCTGACAGGTCAGATCTTCGGTGGAATAAATGACTACGTCGCCAGTGGTGCATTCGCAAACGTTTACAGATGTGAATGGAGACAACCTTCGGGCCCTATCAAGAAGGTCTGGCTAATGGGAAGCGCTGGCGTCACTTGCTGATCAGCCTGTCCATAATCGCACTACAGGTCGCAGTAAAATCCTTCAGGCATCACATTGATCGTTCCTCGGAGCAGGACTTAAGAGTAAGGGTCTATGGCTTCTGTTCTGGACACTATTTTATGTTGATTTGCTAGAGATTTCGACGAGAAACTGCAATATGGGCACACCTCGTCCACGACAATATCGTCAAACTTTACGGAACGACAGAGGAGTTCGGGCCAACCACAGCCCTTGTCTCCCAGTGGTTTCCGGACGGCACGCTATCCCATCTGATCACAGAAAAGGGTGCTACATTAACCATCAAGTCCAAGTTCGAGCTGGTAACTCAAACAAACCTGTTTAGCTGCAGTGAACCTAAACTGAATTATTCTCATTTACTAGCTTCACGGCATAGCATCTGGGCTCTACTATCGTTTGTATTCTATTCACTGTCGTCTTGTTTTGACTAATAAACTTGCCTTTAGTTCACTCTTTTCCCGTTGTTCACGGTGACATTACGAGTGTGAGCTCATCCTCTTTACAATCGATTGCGCTCACTAAACAATGCAGTCTAACGTTTTGGTAGATCTCAAGGAAGGAGAATACAAAGCTTGCCTCACGGACTTCGGCTTGTCGAGTGTCCTCTGCGAACGTTTAAAAAAGTGCCAAATTGAAGGATCAACTGTTCGGCCTGGTGCAATCAGGTGGACTGCGCCTGAATTGCTTATGTCACATGATCGCCCTTCCGACATCAAACCGACCACGCAGAACGATATCTATTCCTTTGGTTGTGTCATGTACCATGTAAGTGTAAGCGACTCAATCTACAAATCCACACTCAATGTATCATTCATCCCAGCTGTTGACTCTGACTGTTCCTTGGCATGACATCGACCAATTTAAAGTCCTTCAAAAAATCCACAATGGGGAGGCTATCCCGCGTCCTGATATATCCGAGGCGATGTCTGACGTCACAAACACCTTCTGGAATCATATCGAACAGTGTTGCTCAATTGATCCATCTGCCCGTCCATGTGCTCTCACGGCTATGAAGTTCATAACGGATGGACTAGAGACTATCGAACAAGATGTAAGCTCATGACTTGTCTCGTCGTGTAGGAGTGGAGTTTATGACTCTGGCAGGATATCCCTGTTAGCAGGGTACAAGAAATCCATCAAAATACATACTTGGTGGCGGAGCAGGTATGAACTCGCCAGCTTGTAATTGAAATAATTTGGATTAAATGTTCATCAAGCAGTCTAGGATTTCTACCGCACCATTGTTGCAGTCTTCCTTGCAAACATCATACAATACCGTCCCCTCTAGCCCTTTAACACATCATCTCTTCTCTACGGCTTCGTCGCTGGTGAGAGACTAGTGGTGCATTGTTTTTATGCATACTGATTCTTGCACGCGATCAAGTCACTTTCAGGTCCTTTAAATGTGTTACTTTTCGGAGAGACTGGAGTTGGGAAGAGCGCTATCATAAACTTGATTATAGGACACGACGTTGCACGGACGTCGCCAGACGCACCACCCTGCACACTGCAGCATACCTCCTACGAAGTCAGTCTTGCTGATCGCCGATTCAAACTTTGGGAAGTTTCCTCGATCGAGTCAACGGGTTTTTTCCGGACCCTTTTTACAAAATGGCGTCTGAAAAAGTCATACAAGAAGTTGTACAGAGATGACGGAGTCTATCTTCTTTTATATTGCATGAGGGGGTCGAGGGCCCAGAGAGCACTGATCAAGGATTATAAATTCTTCACTGATATTGTTGGCTCCACTGCCACTGTAGCAGGTGGCGTACCGGTCGCCGCTGTGGTCACTTCCTTAGAAGATTATCCCAAGGACATGGATGGGTGGTGGACGAAGAACAAGGACAATCTGGAACGCCTCGGCATGCGGTTCTCCGCGCACGCTTGTATCACTTCTCTCCCTAAAGATCCAACATCCTCGCTAGCAATGCTCGCACGTCAACAGCGGTCAGAACAAGTCATTCGCTCTCTTATTTATAACTCCTATAAAAGGGGTACCGAGACATCTCGCAGTTCCAGTCCAGGTATATAACTTTATGAAGAAGCGGGCTTATTTGCGTATTATTGTCTTCGACGATTTGGGTCCCCCCGGCGGGGCGCTGTGCGCACGCAACTGTTGAAAGATAGATTTAAGGCTTCATCCTGTCAATGAGCGTTGTGCATTACCTTCTGTATATCCTCTATGTCGCACTATACAACAGTACTTACCAGCTTATGATACACTGATGCATAGTATGTAGATCTGCCAGTGAGTTCGGTACTCATTCGTATTGCTTCTCACAATATCTAAATCATTCTCGTTGTTCTTGCGAACCCTGTGACTCAAGTTCGTCATCATCATTGACTGGCAAGCCTGGTCGCTGTTGAAGAATATATATTGTACTGATGAGCCTAAAATTTCAATGAAGCATGAAATCAGAGGCGCGCGTAATCGCTTATTACCTAAGCCACAGTCAGAATTTCAGATTACTACACTAGTAGTGTACACGGTGTCCACACCTCCAAGCAGTAGATCAACTAGAGTTACTGGACTTGTGAGCACGCGTAAGTTTGAACACATTACTATCCTCACATAGGCTAGGGCGGTTTGTACATCGAGCGCTTTTCAAGCGCAGTCGAGTTCTTGCCCGGCGACCGCAGATCATGTCATCATTCGCGAAGTCCAAGTTGAAGGCAGCGAGGGATTCTATTGGCAAGAAAAAGTACGAGCAAGCGCGTGAAGCCGCCGCACAGGTTCTTGATTATGAGCCTGATAATTATACCGCGTGCGTTCTCAATCTAAAAGATTGTGTTGCGAATCTCATATCGACTGTCTCGCGCTGGGCAGCCATGTGTTTCTTGGTCTTGCTCTCTTAGAACTCGGCCAGCATGAGAAAAGCGAGCAAGTAAATTTGACGATTGTTGTAGGGTGCATATCAGCTAATATTTTTAAATCAGTTCTATCGAAAGCCATAGAGCTCAAGGATGATCAAGTACTTGCATGGCAGGTACATTATATCTCTAGCCTCAAATAAACGATTCCAACCTGGGGCGATACATAGGGTATCGCAAAGCTTTACGAACAAACTCACAGGTGGAACGATCTGGTGGATACTCTGGAACACATTATGCAGATATTTGCGAAAAAGTGATCGCGTTCTCATTGGGTAGTGTTCTTGCTGAAACTGAGAATTCAATACCATACAGTGATGACGCCACCAAATGTGCTGAGGCCCTTCAAAAATTAATGGATATTCTCCGAGAACATGGGACACGCCGTGAAGTATGAATTTGCCCACCTTGAAGCCGTCTTGCTCAACGTGTTCAGGTCATTCAAGCATTATTCCTTTACCTACCAGACTCCTTTCTGTATCCAGCTCTTTCAACGCTTCCTCCACCCGATCCTACGAACCCCACGTCGACCTCAATTTTTTCTACTCAATCGGCAATCTACAACTCACTCGCTGTCTATGAGGATCTTGTATCGCTAATAGAAAGAGATGAAGAGATGTCCATCAAATCTGAGTTTGACAAGCGACGTACCCGCCTTGGAGGTCCTAAGCCTGAGCAACTCAGGAAAAACATTGGGATCGAGATTTGGCATTCATCGAAGGTAAGACAACCTTGCGAATATTTCGGTTGTCATTTTCATCTTCGCTTTCTAGCTTCCATCGTTATACAATGATATTCTTAATCACCCCAGTACCTCGGACGAACTGCGGCGCGCCACAGAATCGAAACTCATTCGATATAAACAACAATTATTTCTGGCACTCCCATCTACTGATCCAGAGAAGCACCAAGTTGGCATGCAGCTGGATGAGATGGTTCAGGGTATTGTGACGATTGGCATCCCGGATGAATTTGCTTGGTGCATGTGGTTTGAAGGAAGAGATTCTGATACAGTTGGTACTGGACACGCCATCAAATTAACCATGATCACTGAATCGGTACTCTAGAGGGTCTTGGTCTTGCGTATCTCAAGCAGTTCATAGAACTTTTCCCGACAAGTGCATTGGCGCGGATGTTGATAGGATATTTTGCATACAGCAAGACTGTACATGGTGACGAAGAATCAACAGAAGAACTGGCCTTTGCGGTGGATGGCGACCCCTATGACACTATTCTTGCAAGTTCACGAATCACGCCCCGGAGGATATCAATATCACTGACATCTATCTTCAGGATGCCTTTTCAGCACTCCCGGACTCATTGCTAGCGAACATGATCACAGCTCGAGTCCATTTACAGGAAGCTGAATACACAGACGCCATCAAAGTTGCTGAAATCGGTCTAGAATTGGTACGTAGGTACGAGTCAAACACAGCCCGTAAGCTTCACGAGTAAGTTGAAATCGTTAAGACATTGAGACTGCAGTGACAACTTACCGTCCGTAGAGTGCGCAAGGCATTTCACATTATTCTGGCCACGTCCTTCGTCCATCTGTTTCCTCCCAAACATCACCCTCGCGCTCTTTATTTCTTAAACGATGTCCTAGAGCAAGATCCTAGCAATGTGGACGGATTGATGGGGAAGGGATATGTTTTGCAATCCGCTGAAAAGTGGGAGGAGGCGGAGGTGCTATTTGCGCAAGCGGCGAAGCAGCTCTCTGATGATATGGACAGAGGCATAGAAGCAAAAGAGGAGAGTGCGTGGTGCCTCAGTCGGATAAATGCGGATGCTGGCGTAGACGCTTTGAAAGAAGTCTTTGAGACATTGAAGGATATCGAGGATCGTGACATCGATAAAGCTCGATGCCTCTGGCGGATTGGGAGATGCTATTGGGATATAGGAGGTATAACAATCGACGCCTTCTGCCTCATATCACTGATCCCTATTGCAGGAGAGTCCCGCGAGGAAGCTTTCAAATACTTCATCACATCGCTTAAACACAATCGCGAGTATGCGTCAGCATACACTTCGCTAGGTGTATATTACTCAGAACACGCATCGCCGCCCGACCCTACGCGGGCTTCAAAGTGTTTCCAAAAAGCATTCGAACTTGATGCCCGTGAATCAGAGGCCGCGAGGCGCCTTGCGCAAGGCTTCGCTGACGAGCGTGAATGGGATCTAGTTGAGGTGGTGGCTCGACGTACTATAGAAGGTGAAGGCGGGATGGGCGCGGGTATAGAGGGAGGAGATGGCGCAGCTTCGGCAAAGTATCTTCCGACAAACGCATGGGCATGGAAGGCTCTTGGTGTTGTGGAGCTGGTAAAGGATCGTACTTGTGACGTTTATGTCTAACCTAACTTTATCCGGCACAGATAAGGAGGAACTATGAGGAATCCATCAAGGTTTTTCAAGTGGCACTCCGAGCGGATGTCGATGACCAACTCTCATGGCTGAGACTTGGTGAAGCCTACAGTAAAGCTGGCCGCCATGTCGCTGCCCTTAGAGCACTTACTCGGGCTCACGAGCTTCAACCGGATGACTGGATGTGTACATACTTCATAGGGGAAGTCCAACGGCAAGCGGGAAGGCTTGCAGAAGCTCTTGCCTCTTTCCAGTCTATACTGGACATTCGTCCCAATGAAGCCGGTGTTCTCTTATCTGTCGCGCAGACCTATCTCGACCTAGCCCGACATGAACGGTTTACCGGTTTTGTCGCTCGAGCTGAGCAGTCTTTTATTTCCTGTGTCAACGTTGCGTTACTCGCCATCCGGGAAAGCCCGGGATATCGTGGAGTCGCCTGGAAATTTGCTGCCGATGCCCTGTTCGAGTTGTCAGTAATCACTGTCTTCGCTGATGAAAGCAACGTTCGTGCAGTCGTGACCGTGGTCCGCGAACTTACACAAGACCAGAGTAGCGCTCAGCTGGCTGGCCTATTCAGACTTACAGCTCTCTCTCCACATGATCCAGTCACCGGGCTCAACGCACTCGAAGCTGCTGTCGCTGCCTACGATTATCGTATCACAGTGGGCTCTTCCGACGAAACCGCTCTCCCAAGCTCGTTATACGACCTTGCTGTAGCACTGCATGAGTGGATTTTAAAACAACCCTCTGGTACCACAGGGCAAGCATTGGAGGCAGCAAACTCATTCTTGATTCAAGCTCTGCAGAAGGAGCCTGGAAATGTCAGGTTCTGGATCGCATTGGGTGATCTTCACTTTGCACAAAAGCCAAAGCTGTCGCAGCATGCATATATCAAGGCGATCGAAGTTGACTCCAAGGTTGGTAGGACACATACCTGTTACAATCTCAACTCAACCTATCTAGAACGTGGTGGCGTGGACCAAGATCGGTCTCCTATACTTATATCATGACGACATTGACTTGGCCACCCAAGCATTTACAAAGGCGCAAACTCTTGATCCGGATCATACCCTAGCTTGGATCGGTCAAGCATTGGTTGCAATCACAAACGGCCACGAAGCAGATGCTCGTACATTACTCGAGCATGTAGTCAGCATGACAGCAGACGTGGTAAATACGCGCCCACCACCCTATACTTGTATAAGCAACTGACACATGGTTCAAGCCTGTGGCAGACCTGCAATTTGCCTTGCGCGTTCTTGTTGCCGTAAATGATTCGAATACAGTTCGTGCATCTACTACAGATCGCCTTTTACCTGCCTTCTTTGTCCTTGGACGCTATTCCCAGCGCTGCCCGACCGACGCCTGCGGCCTCCATATCTTCGGTCTGATTTGCGAACACCTTGGAAAACTTGAACAGGGCGTGGAATACATAGGTCGTGCAATTACTCTCCTTGAAGCAGCATACGAGGAGAAAGAGGATCCCATCGTCGAACGCCAATTTATCATCGCACATGCCAACATCGCACGGCTCCGTCTTGGACTGCAGGACTATGAAGGATCGTTGACATCTTTCGAGAGTGCTTTAGGTCTGCTTCCTGAAGACACAGAGCGGGAATCACAGATTCTACGCGTACAAGCTCAATACGGGTCTGGGCTAGCGTCTTTCAAGATGGGTGACCTTCAGGCCGCTATGGCGGCATTTCAAGCTGCTTTGGAAACTGCCGCTGACGATCGTGTCCTTCGAGGACAGGTTACTGTTCTGCTGGCACAGACGATGTGGGCGATTGGGACGCCCGAGTTTCGTGAGTCTGCGAAAGGCTTGTTACTTGATTGGTCAGAATGCAACGTCGACGATTTCCAGTCAACTAATCTGTCGTTTTAGTATCACCTCCGATCCCGAAAATTTGATGGCAATCAACACTCTAGCTGGAATGGGGATACTTACTGAAGACGATGGACTAGTTGATGCGGCACTCTCCGAAATTCTGTCCCTCCCTATAGAACAGAGACATGAACTCGATCCTCGAAGAGACGTGACGTATCTCCTCGTGCAACATTATCTTGGGCTGGTACGAATTCAGGTCTTGAATTGTTGAGTGCACGATCCTGAGATTTTTTTCCGCAGGGCGACTCCGACAGAGCAACTAAAATCGCCCAAAAAGCCCTTCATGTTGAGCCTTGGAATCTGCAGATCAGGCGAGAAGTCGCATCTTTGTTGCTCAGGCAGGGGGAGAGCGACGCTGCGTCGGCCATCTTGGCATCGGTAGCACTGAATCAAGACATTGCAGAAGCAAAGACCACCCTCGCGTTATCAGCTCTTGCACAACCAATCCAGTCTCAAAGAAGTGCGCAAAAAGCCATCATGTTGGAACCCGGTCAATTGCGAAATTGGCAGACTTTGGCTTATGTTCGAGCACAGGAATCGCTGTGATATCAGGTAGGATAATGTACACGTATGTAGAAGGAGGCTCAATACTCGATCATCCAATAATGTATCTGTTATATGAGTCCCTGTAGAATCTCGCGTGCTGGACCTCCAGCAGACGGGAGACATTCGTCACCGTTTTCCTTGAGCAGCGACCTCTGTAGATTCACCAATGAGTATCGAAAGGACCGAAAGGATTCATGGCATGAAAACTTCATACCTCGTCGCGTCGCATCCTCCAGCAGCTGAGTATCGACGTGTTCTGCAGGGAGCTGCACATACCTCACAACGGAACCACGGATAAAGCAGTTTTTCACCGCCATCTAGAAACAGAGATGAATATGGGGACCGGATAGAAAAGCGTATATTAAGTACCATGTGTGGGTGTCTCGCCTCGTCCAGTACATTGATCGAATCTAGACGGATATTGAGAAATCTAGGCAAAGAATGGGAGTGCATCATCAGTGATATTGAATCCATGTGAGATAGGAACTATGATACTGACTGATCTACCGACTTCAAGACTCCTGTAATCGAGAGATCGTTCTTCAACTCGACGGTTACTCGTTGATCTGTCAGTGTTTTGAAGACCGAGAAGATGAGCTTTTGAATGTACGATCAGTTGAGTTTGCAGCATGACCCTATTCAAAGCTGACCATGGCTAGAAGCACGGCTTAAATTTTGATATAATGGTGGATGGTTATGGCCGGAGACATCCCGTCAATTGGCGTCACTACAAGGGTTATTTGGAGCAGTGGCTGTGCTCAACCAAGACTGGCCCGCGATATCATAGAGAAAACTAGCGCTACAATATTGTAATAACATCTACTCAAAGTCCGCCATATCGAAGTTGTACATAAAGTGCTAGCAGTGATTGAAGTCAGCGTTTTCCAGAGATGGTGGAAATCCGTTTTTACCTTGTATAAACTCATAACCTTCACTACCCAAGCCTCTAGGTGATAAATCTTTTTGTTACCAAGCCGCATTCGGGTCTCCTGTGCATATGTGAGAAACTGAAATATTCAGCCCAACGCCCACATACATAAAATGCGGCCCAATGCATGACATCAGCTTTCATAGCCTCATCTACTCTCTCCACCACCCGCTCTGCAACGGTCTGGACACTATTAGTGACCTTTTTCAGTATGCTGTACAAATCCGTTCACCTTCAATACGATCGTTGGGGGGATGCAGTGGGCAAGAAGCTCGTAGAATTTTGCACGGACTTCCAAAACGCGTGCTGGTGACTGTTCTTGGACGATGAGATCAGCAACCTTGTGGCAGTACGTTTCCCAGTCTGGTTTGGCTATTGCCAGTGAACCTGAAAGATCTGGCCTACACGTGATGAGCCGCGGCGATAGTGATACAGTCGCAAGTTGAACATACGATTGCATTTTCAAGGCTTCGAAGACAAGCAATGCTTTTCGCATGTTACCACCAGAGTTTTCGGTGATCTGTTGCGATGCCTCTTCAGGTAAGTCGAACTTCAGTTTCTTTGCTACATGTTCCAAGACAATTTGCATCTAGAGGCGTTCACCACCAAGTTTAAAAAGAGCTGCTTGATGCCTACTCACCTCTTCTGGGTTCGGTGCAGCGACTCGCATGAGTAGACAACGACTCTTTATAGGTGCTATCAGTTTGCTTGTGCTGTTGGCACAGAGTATTATTCGCATGTTTGACATGTATTTCTCCATCGTTCGACGCAACGCTGCTTGGGCATCACGGGAAAGAGAGTCCGCCTCGTTAATCACGACGACTAAGAAAAAGGTCAGGTTGAGATCTAGTTATTACACCACGTTGGATAGTACCTTTGAATCTGTGCTTCGCGTTCAAGTCTACCTGCTGTGTCTGCGCAATCTCCTTTAATAAATCTTGAATGACAACTCTATCATAATTTCCAGCCTCGCTTCAAAGGACTTGAGACGATTCAGAAGAGTATAAAATGCCGAATAGCAAACCTGGGAGTTATCTCTATGTGAAAATTGCTTTGAACAATGTTTATTTCCAGCTTGCGTTTCGACGGTGAGATAAACACTCGTTGATCAATTTTGAGCTGTGATACATGTTAATTAGCATCATCCAAAGCAAATCATAGAATTACACAATTCCTCTCACCTTCTCGACACCACTCCCAAACAGCTGCCTTAAAGTACAGCTTATCCGCGTCTTTTTTCCAGCTCCAGAAGGCCCGTAGAAGAGCATGTGTGGGAAGTCAGCTGAGGCAGCCTGTTCGTATCATAACATATGAGACACATATGGTCCCAGATCCAAGATTGAGTTACCAGAGATTTCAATCGAATGGACAAACTCTGGTGGTAGTGGAGGTCATCCAAAGTTTTTGGCCTGAACTGCGCTAATGTGAGAATTGTGAGGCACACAAAGAAAGCAAGCTTCTCACTTTGTCGACCCAGAGAGACATTGTTGGAAATAGTAGTTCAAAGTCGAATTCAAAGCTCAGGAATGTCGAGTCCAAGACGTTAGTAACAGTCGCGTGACGTCACGCGTTAATTATCACGCATATCGAGCTAATGCTCGAGTTTTTTTCCGCAAAGTTCGAGTAGATCTTATATAGCACATTTCAACAATATACATATATGCGAAAGATCGTCAGCATAAGTGAAAGCAAGCAGAATAATATAAGTAGTGTATTCGGATCCCCAAATTGCAAAATGATATACGATAAAAATTACAGCGGTCCGATCGTGGTGTTGAGAGTTGGTAGAGGAAGAGCAGACTGGAATTGCAGCAAGAATTCAATTTCAAAACTCAGGATGGTTAGAATGCGCGCTTACTGGGTAGGATCCGGAGGGTACTGCAGATGCCAAAATTCCAAAGCTTGATGTGGATGATCCAAGCCCCATGGTCACGGCTGATGGTGAGGGAATCAATGCGGTCGAACCACCAAGAAACGTTGTCGCTGTCATTGACTGGCCTGCTGAAGAAAGGTCCGCGAGACTGACGCCGAGATCATATGAGGCAGTGACATGGTTTTGATTGATATGGAGCCATGGAATCTGGTATCCGCCGCTGCCCACCCTATACGGCATTTGTAAGCGTGACTCCATGGGTCCTTGTTATATTCCGACACTGACCTCGTTGTTACTACACTTTGGATGTCCAAATAGCCCAATGGAATGATGGGTAGGGACGCAAGGGCACCCTTGACTAGCTTAACGTTTCCAAACTTTCCACTGTTGACAGTCTGCTTTGGAGGAATTACAAATGAACTGAATGTCTGGTCTAAATGCGCATAAATTTCTCCATTGACCAAACCATCAGCCTGCACAAATAAAATCTCGAGTTCAGTATCGAGAGGGTTTGTCACCTTGCACGGGATGAGTTTTATACCTAGAGCACGCATAAAATTGTACGTACGTCGAAGCTAAGGTTAATTTCATTGGTCACGAGTGTGGCTAGAGTGATTTCAGGGTATAAGTGGGAGATAATCGGAGCGACGTTCAAGCCTGCGACTTGCATGAGCGATAAAGGGTGGACAGACGCGATTCTGCTTACCCGTAACACTACTTGTCAAAGTCACGCCTTCGAGCGCCGGCTGGAGTGATGCAAATGGTGTACTCGCAGAATCTCCTTGAATAGTAATTGGAAGGCCATTGCCGGTTTGCAGGAAGCTACTGAGGAAAGCCTGCATTACAGAAATGATTAAGTAGGTTAGAAGAAAGTCCATGCTACCGACCTCAGCTACGGTATCATTCGGGTTTGCTGGCTCGTAATGGAACTCTCCTGGGATCATATTTTCTCCAGGAACCAAGTTGAAGAGCTAAACGAGAGGTTCAGGTAGGACTACATCCATGACAACCATTTACGCACATTGAATGCCGCTCGACCGATCATGACATTTTGGTAGTACACTGGTAGGGCGATATCAACCGTGTCAAGCGAGATGTTGGACGGGTTGTTAATCGAAGACGTAATGGGCGAGATGATATATTGATTTCCACCATTCCCACCACTGCCATAAATCGAGATGTTGGTTATCGTTGCCTTGCTATCAAAGGAATTCATGCCTAATACATAGTTTTAAGCACGAGTGGAAGCTAATTCGCATTGAAACTTACCAGCTAGGCTTGAAGCGACGTCGAAAGCAATTCCTGAGATAGGAACATTGCCAATGGCAGTCTTGGCGGTCACATCAGCGGTTCCGCTCAATTCCAGGTCTGCCGAATTCTTGTCCGTCACTTGAGCAAACATGGCTTCAAAGGCGCCATTGTCGACGGAAGTTAATGGGATGTCATGGAAACTGATCGGCAAGGCAGCGAGATTCCCAGTCGACACCCCACCAATGTTGTCGGATTGAGGAAGGTTCAGCTATAAGCGGGTCAGTGAACATCTAGCATGGACCAATAACCAACATTACCTGAGCGGCAGCTGTACCTCCATAGTTGAGGTTTATGTTGACAGTAGACTGAATTACTTGTAATGAGAAACCGAAGGGGTTCTTGTATTGTGCCACAGTGTTATCGGAACCTGATAATGGAGAAAATGCCTGGTCCTGGCTCTGCATTGTCAAGCTCAAATCCAAGAGTGCGATGGATTGGATAATCTATTTGTCATTAGCACAATTTTCTCCTGCGCAATTGTCGATAAACCTACGTCAAACTTCTTTCCAGGCAAAATGACGTCGAGTGTGAGAGTCTTGAAGGCGGTACTAAGCCATGTTACTTGTTCATTTGCACCTGGAGGCTGAACAGTGTCGCCTTGGACATTGAGCGTAATATTATCCGCAGCTATGTACTCAGAGAACAATTTGCCAATAGTGTTCAGACCAGAGCCACTTTGAGGTACCATTTGTCCACTGAGGTGGGATGTTACTGAGGACTCGGGTGAGAGGATGAGGTCAGTAGCGGTAAGTGCTATATAACGCATTAGACAACGGTTTCAACGAAATCAAATTTTCGCTCACGTCCAATGCGAGTGTTCTCGAAGTAGGCTTGGAATCCAACGTTTCCAAGGTCGATGCCAAGCTCTGGGAGAAGAAATGAGGGAAAAAAAGAAGGGATAGCAGGGGGAAATGCACAAACGAGCAGGGGAAGGAATGATCGAGTCTGTTGATATCGTAATTCCACCAGCTGGATCTTCGGAGGGGAGTTGGAAGTTACTGATCGTGACTCCTGGGAGACCATTGAATGCTTTCAGGGTGACCGTTTTTGACATCGAGACTCCATTGAAAATTGTTCCCAGAGCAGTCAGCTTGAGGGAAGAAGTAGAGATTGTCCACTCAAAACTTGGATTGTGTAACAAGTATGTCGCAAATAAGGTAAACCTGGTACTTTTCAGCATCCACAAAAGATGGCGCAAATGCAATCATGCTCACTGGACTTGGTCAATTATTACTAGCTGCCCTTGCGTATTATAATTCGGCACCCCGGTATTCGCGGTAGAACATACTATGGATCACAGTGAGTATCCCGCATGTGGTCTATTTTAGCTAGCAAACCTGGAGGCAGTGCAATTGTCGCAATATTATGGCCTTGCCATGTTACCCTGTCCGACGTGAGCATCTGCAGATACAAACTGGGCGAAGACATACATCACTGGGTCAACAAACTCGATCAGAGCATCTAGAGGGCCAACGTTGGTCAAGGACCCTTGCAGGGAGAGCTGGAAGCCCTCGTTTGTGATGTCCCTATCCCAACCATCAACAACCAAAGTAAACGTTAGATAAATGGTTGAAGCGCACGTGATGTTTGCTTGGTTGAAAGCTAGTGTAGCGCCGTTGACGAGGTCTTGGGTAATAGGACCACCCACCGCACCAATCAGATACAATGATGTCTTGTCCGTCTGTAATCAATTGAGTGATAAGTGTTGAAGCAGGTAGAATTTCCAGACTTACAATAGCCGAAACCCCGTATTGATTGAAAGCAAGATTTGTTGCGTCTAGTGAAGTGAATCACTAAGTTTACCGGACAACTCACAGGTAAGGTTCTTACAATCATCAAGTTTCAAGGAAGAATCCACGGCAAGTGTGACTTGTAAACCTTTCAATGCGTTTAAAATGGCGTCGTTTATGTCGAACTGGTTTCCGCTAGTATTTTTTTACGTCAGAGAACTGAAAGCCTGGAGAAATTTCGTGGATATACCTAACGCAAATTGGGTTGCTTGTATCCACCGACGTATTGACCTTGAAAAAGAGGTCATTCAGGTGTTGATCGAAAAAGAACTCAAACATACAGGTGGGTGGAAGCTCGGGTTATCAATAACCAGCTGGAATAAACTCGTCAGAGGACCAAGGTCGACATTGTGTTCTTGAGCGGAAGTGGTGATCAATCCAATAATGGTCAATGGGTCGAGGTTGAAGTTGAACGGAAGCACAGTCGATGTAATATTGGAATGTCCATTAGCATGGATTGGGTTTGCAGACATGTCAACATGATTGATAGCGCCAAGAGTCAGGTTGTGGTAGGTCGCGATTGCGGTGACATCAAGCAGATTGATGCTGGCCGTGAACGGATTTGCTAAAGTGAAAGTCGTCGACGCCACACCATTTTGAACGATGTCAGTTGGGAATTCGAGCGAAGCACTGTCAATGAGGTTCTGGTGCAAGGCTGGGATAGTCACTGGTGACAAATTGATCTGCGCAAGAGCTGGTTCCAAAGAGCCGATATAAGTGGAACTGGACGTTCCCATAATGGTTGTTTCCGAAATGACGCCCTGAAGGTAGTTCTCGAGCATCGCTTGGCCTGCCGCTGTTTGCGCAGCTCCTTGAGGGGAGTAATGGACGTCTAGCGTATAAGATAAGGAAATGTCTACACTCAGAGTGAATGCAAATACCAGTGGGATATGATACGTTTCCAGGCTGGATGATCATATTGCTCTGCAGATGGAAAGGTAAACGTCGAAACGGAGGATCTATAAAGTCATGAATAGTCACCAAATCGGCGGAACCAATGACTTGGTTTCTATTGATAGCCGGTCAGTGCGTATTTCATAGGAATTCAAGAAGGCGCTCACTCAAACTGCAATGCAAACGAGACATCGCCAGTACCTGAGAGCAAATGTCAATAGCAACAATCAAAAGTACGCTGCTGCTCACCGATTGTTAGGTTGCTACGACCGAGTAAAGACGCATTTATATTGGACTCGTCGTCATAACAGATTCACGTACCTCGGGTTGAAAAGTGAAGTGTCCACTGTAATCAGCAAGTAATCTGAATATCCGTGTTTGACGTCCAGATTGGCGACGGAGGCAGGTTTCGCCTTGAGTCCCTGCAATCCCGCGATCGTAGATTGCACAGAGAATTCGATATCCACTAGAGACAACACACCAACAGCTGTAGATGCATCGGCGTTCGCAGCGCCCGACAGCACTAACATTTGTGAAACTCCTAGCGTCGTAGCAGCTACGAAATCCTGGAAAGTCTCATGCTGGTCAGAATACACAGCAAACGGGACATCGCTAAACGTCAAGTAAATGATACGATTCTGAACATCAGTCGTGCTGGGGCCCCGTGGGATAACCAGCTCAGCAAAAGATTGACCATTATATCCAGTGGTAATATTCTGTGCAAGTGCCGTGATATCGACTGGGAAAGCGAAAGGCAGAGTGAACGCAGCAGTGGTCAAATTGCTGCCTGACATTGGGTTGTATGCCGTAGCCTCGGTGAACATGAGAGACAGCTGTTCGAGATTGATCGACTGGATGATGTTAAGTTTTCCCTTGTTCGGCAACGACGTCACTACCTGAAGGGTTTGTATACCTTCATTCAGCCAAGTGACCTGCACGGCGTGATCAGCAAGCACCATTCTGACGACAACAGGTATCTCACATCGCTCGGGCCAGCACCAGCGCCATAAACGGTGACCTGGCTGTCCATGCCGTGAATATAGTTGTTGAAAATAGCGGAAATAGTTGCAAGTCCTTCTGAAGAGCTCTGCGGAATGAGTCGACCAGCTAGCTCGAGCGATGAGGTGGAATTCGGCGCTAGCGTGACAGTCGAAGTTGAAGAGACTGGAGCTATCTCGATGCCGTTGGAGTAGGTGTTGAACGCAAGGGAGCTGAGTTCAATGCCAACTTGAGAAGGCTACAACGGAAGAAACATGAACGAGGCATTGAAATCGAGCAAGGACAACATACGTTGATAACCTCTGAATTAATCGTCAGATGAATTCCACCAGCAGGGTCGTTGGATGGGAGGTCAAAGGAATTGATAATCACGCCATTCTTAAGACCGTTGAAACCCTTCAGGGTGACTGCTTTGGAAGGAAGAGAGATGCCGGGTACTTCGATACCTTAGGGGTTGTCAATGATATTGCACTAAGCTTCCGCGAAACTAACACACCAAGAGCACTGACTGTATCCGCCAAATACTCGTAAGTAACAACTCAGCTGTACCCAGCATGAACATACCAGTTAGGTTATCACCAGTAATGTCCCATTCAAATGATTCACTATTTAGCATGACCTAGAAACATTGAGAAAAAAGCTACAATGTATTGGATGACGTGTCTCCCACCTTGGTAAAGTTGGCCAAATAATCTGCATTTGCAACTTCGAATGTAGTTTGCACTTTGAGAGTAGCTCCGACATCGCCAACGACATTGACGGGGTCTATCTTCATCACGCCAATCGGCTGACCGCCCCACGAAACAGTGAGTCCGTTGTTAAACGTGATTGTCGCGTCAACTGTCAAAACGAGGTCAAACAAGTATGCGCTAAGTGGAATAGAATGACAGACAAGGCCCCGCGTTCGTAATGCTTCCATTCAATTGTGTCCCTATGAAACTCCTGGTAAGTTGTGCAAGACATCACACTCTGACCCATACCAAACATTGTTTCTTGAGGATTAGTGATAAGAACAGATTCTACACTGCAACACAATTTCAGCAAAAGTTAGCTACAAAGTATCAATGTTAATCACCCCAGGACACTGCCGCTGACGATCTTCTGGACGATAGGTTTCGCTAAGATGGGCAGGATTAAGTTCAGGCTGCTGTCCGTAGAAATGGGGACATCAGTCTGAGTGTAACTGAGTGTCGTTGCATAGTCCCCTGCAACAGTATTGTTGTGAGTAATCTGAAATAAATTCACGGCAAAATTCGAACCAATTGTAAGCTGTGCAGATAGCTGTATGTCACTCCTCAACTGCTTGAACGCTTTGTCAACAAAATTAGGCAGATTGAATCCCCTGAATAGTTGATTTAGTATCAGAAGCAGAAAGAAAGTTGTAACACCCACGTGTATATGTTGTCTCTCCGTTGCTGCTGAGGAACCGGCTCGGAGTCCGTTGTCGTGGCAGTTACATACTGATAATCCCCAAGAGCTACAATGCCGTCCAGTTGTGTGGGATCCAAACCTGCCTGCACAGCGAGCACGCGAGTCAGAGTGAAGAGTGTCGGGGGATCGTAGTTCATGGTCATGTCGAGAACAGGAGACTTCGTGGTCGATTTTCCTGCCGAGTTAAAATTCGTCGCAGTATTGATGGAACCGAGGTACAAGCCATGCGAGGTGACATTGGATGAGATACTGGTGATGTCAAAACCAGCGGTGAAAGGATTGACGAGCGCTACAGTGACCTGACTGACGTTGCTCGTAACAAATGTAGTAGGAAGGACTACTCGATCGTTAACAGGTTGATCTAAAGACAAATAACGCAACTTACTCTCCAAAAAACCCGTCGATAAAAGACTGGAGTTGAGGCCAGGAAGCGTGGCGGTGATGTTCATACTTTCAAAAGCCTGCAGAAGAGAAGCGACCTGTGTGCTCCCACTGTAACCTACGATATTAAGCTCCACATCTAACAACCTAATTATTTTTTCTCTTGAACGCAAAGATCTAAGACACACCTTGACCACCAACAAACTGGCTAAGTGTTTTCAATCCTTCGGGTGAGTTGTTAGGCTGTAAATGCGGTTAACTGAGAAGTCGTGGACAGAGAGGCGGTAGACAACCGTACATCGAAAGCAGATGTGGAGTGAACCGAATTATTGCCCATGTTCAGTGTCAAATTGGGCATCAGTGCCGTTCCCAGGATTGCACCACCACGTTGCAGCTGGAGCTCTGTAACAAGAAATATATCAATTTCGAACCCTTACAATTGACTGCTACCACTAACGTAGGTCGCCAGTAGCGAGATCAAGATTGGATGGGTTATAGATGGACACTAAAGATGAGATCAGCCATAGTTTGACAACAGCTGAGAAGCCTTCTTGCCATCGATGCTAAGGTTAAGGGCTTGCTGGGTCCCGCCCATAACGTCGACAGCCCCAATAGTGGTATACCCCTTCAGACCTTGCAGGCCACTGAGACTGGTCGACACGTTGACCTTGATAGGGTCCAAAGTAATTTGACCGATGCTCATGTTCGCTACCGCGCGAGAATTGCCAAGCAGCAAGAAATCGGTCGTGGTAGAATCCGTGAGTTCCATGTCTGCAAAATATACAATTACAGATCGCACCACTCAAATACAGCACACTTACTGAATGCGGAGAAACTGCCATGCTCTGTATCTGTAGCGTTCAAAACACTATCTAAAATGGTTATGTTAATGGTGCCCTCAGTGTCTGTCGGGCTCAGCACAGTGATTGAGGATGTTGATGCACCCAGAGGCTGCGCAACAAGATGGTTACCGGCAAATTGAAAATGTAGTGGACAATCATACCGTATTCAAACCCGCTACATTTGAACCGTTTTTGACGATCGTGAATTCATTCTGAATCTGATCGATAGACAACTTAAACCCGAAAGGCAATTCTGTTGCGCCTAAGTCAGACATAATGATCACACTGCTTTCACATAAATCACTCACGCATGCTCGCGCGAACTGAGTTACTATCCGTTCGCGGGGTCCATGCCGTCTCTGGGGTGAACGCAAGCGCCATGCTCCCTATCTGAATAGACCGAATTGGGTTGATCGGTGTAGTTGACTTGAAGGGAACTGTCAGCTGAAGGCTTTCCAAACCCTGGCTAAGCCAAGATATCTGTGAACCATCCAGCTGCAGTGTTGACTTGCCCATTGCGATTACAGGCGAACTTTCGAAATTGATGTAATTGGTGAAAAGCTGCGAGACCGCCGCAAGGTTGGCAGGCGTCGTCTGGGGTACTAAAATACCGCTCAGCGTGATGTTGTTAGGACCAGGGACCTAAAGTAAGTTGAGACATCGGAATTGAGAAATTAGAATGTACGACCTACAATGTTCGTATTGAATCCCGTTCCAGTACCAAGATAGACGTTTTGGTACACGAGGTCAAAAACTACTGTTCCCAGCCCCAGTGTGAAAGGGCTATACCAAGTGATCAGGTCAGAGTGTAATGAAGGCTCTAGGTTGAAGAATACGAATACCTTGTATTGTTCAACTGCGTAACCGCCACAAAATCGATACCTCCCCCAGGATTGTCACTGGGTAATTGCATGTCCTCGAGAATGACATTGCCGGCAAAATTGTTTGTGCCTTAGCAAGAATACTTGTCAGTTGCACCAAAATCTACGTGAGTATGAAAATACTGCACCATTGATAGTCACCAGCTTATTGAATGAAATGCCATGCGCGGTAGGGAACTTCATTGCTTGGACATTCAGATTGGAACTCTGCAATCTCCAAGTGAAATTTTGTGAAGTGATCATCGAGCTTGTGAAACGGCCGAAGGCATTTTGATCTGTGATGTAGAAGGTCGTGGTATCGTTGATCGTTGCCCGTTTATTGGAAGCATGCAGAGTCGAAAGCGACATATAGCCGAGAGGCACTTCAACACTGCCATTCATCCAGCTCACGTTTACTGGCTGCGAGAAGGCTACTGTGGCGGAGAAAATACCAGTATGAGATACCTTAAAGCGATGGTTAATGAATACGGTCCCAATGCAACGCGAATACCTACAACGCCTAGCATTGCTAAAGTGAAGCTGTACGATAAATAAGTGAGCGTGTTACTGTATATTATACCGTTCCCTTACGATGTATTTGAAGGAGACAATATTGCCGCCTGTTGGATATTCAGCGTGGATTGGTTGATTACATCCTGAACGATTGCGCGGAGTACGGGGAACAGAACTATGAAAAGCAGCGCGATGCCCAAACAAGCACCAACGATTGAAGTGATTATAAACCATCTTCGCTTGCGTAAAGGAAGTCTAGGGGCAGCACCAGACACTGCTGGTGCATTTGTATCTGCTGGCAGATACTCTGGTTGAGATATATCACCTTCGGTTTGATGTGCAGGGACATTAGTTGTGATTCCAGGCGGAGTAGTACTGGCGAAGGGGCCGGCGAATGGGTCTAACCCTAAGTCAGCTCCTGCAATTGGAGCAGCATGACCTGTAACACAGAGTTACGGTTATGTCCAATGAAGTTATAGTATGATGAGAGCCACGTTACCTCTCAATGACGCGGTTGACCAATCACCAAGAGTGTGAATGCTGTTGTCGAAGTTATTATTATATGTATTCCTCCCCGTTGATGGTAATTCCTCCATCTGGCAAAGGAATGCCGCAAAGCCGAAGGCAAAGAAATGGGTAACTTAAAGACAGTGAAGACCAACAAGACGCGAAATTGGAAAAGCGGAGATGCGAGAGTTGGGAACCCTAGACGAGTTGCTTGAAAACGCAACGGAGGACAATACTTTTACCGAGAAAAAGAGCGTTGCGGATCTGGGATAAATCTTCACAGGGCATTTGTCCACCCTTTAAATGATGACATGTAGCCGTTGTATATGGCGCGAAGGTATTTTAACAAAATTTAGTCCAAACGCTTCAGGTTGGTCCATGCTCGATGGGATAGTTGAAGGGCCGAGGAAACAACAGGGTTCTGATCGAGCTAGTGACAGGAACGTTGAACCTTATCATTCAGAATCACGAACGGCGAAACAGATGACACGGGTCTTCAATGAAAAAGTTCAATCTGGCAATTTGAATATTGGCAAGTGAGGTCAGTAGCCAAGTCGCATCCGAATGATATGAATACGCACTATGTATCATTACCCTGCAAAGTCACTCCAGTCTCCAGTCGCTTTCAGGGTTCTGAAACTGCACTTGAAGGCTAGGTCGAATTCAACGTAAGATGGGACATCCATGGGCGCGATCACATCCGACTCATCGGCATGAAGTTTCGTTCATGATGACATTCCTTGGTGCGGGTAACACCGTAATATGTACGTACCATTTAGAATTGAGATTTTGAAATCTACCAACAAGCACGTGACATTTCTGGGTGATTATTTCAGCACTTCAATACAGGTTCATTATAGCTGCCGATCCATCAAAACACCTTTTTGTTCACGGCGGAAAAACACACCCCAGCGGCAGCTTTTGTCTGCATTTCATCCGCGCTTCTTTCGACTCATCGAGCCAGATGTTGAACGTCCCACCACATGGCTAGCTATTACTATCACAAGACATACTACGTGGTCGACATAACTGACCCATGCCTTCAATACTGAAGCATCCCGACTCTCCAGGCATCAACTTGGTGCCATAACGTGATCACGAGCATCATTCTGATGAATCTGATCCTTTGAACTTCTTGTACTACAAGGTCGAAGCTCGTATCCAAGCGCTGAACTAGGCCTATCACCGTTTCACTACCGCTATTTACAATTCCCCACCAGAGAACGCGCGTCTCAATCGCCACTGCATCTACGTTCGTTGTATTGGTTATTAGAATTCATTAAAATTCAATTAATCGATTAATCTTGAGTTGCACAGGCCATAGCCTGGCCCTCGCTGTCCCAGAGCTGGAACGGGTATTGACCATTCACCATATTCGCATATGGCGCGCTGAGTATACCTCCAAGTATCACTGCATACTTCATCACATGCTGCGTAGTTTCCTAGACTTCTTGATACTCAAGCAGACAGCGTTCCATCAGGTTTCATCAATCCAACGTTCTAACAGTAATGTTCGTTACAAAAACGTGGTACTGGAATACGTAATATCAATCTATGCATGACATATTGATGACAAGGACAAGGGCAAAATCGGATGAGCAGAAAGGGCAAAGTCAAGTAGCTTATACGTCATGCATCATGCTTGATCATATTAGCCAACTGTTTTGCGACCGCTCGAGGAATACCGCAACGCTTAGTGAGATGGGTGACGAGATCCTTCCTTCTCACACGCGAACTTCCCTTGAGTAACCCCTTCAGTTTACGCGTCAGCGACACGAACAGACTATCCCCTCCTGACCATGCTCGTCTCTGCTCGTCTGCAGTAAATTTTTCAACAAGGTCACGGATCGTGGCGCGCGATTCTTCATAAAGGTCTTTGTGTCTGCCATCCAATCCATTGGCAGCGGCGATGCAGGCATGACCAGCGACCTTTATCTGATAGTTGTCGAAGGTGCCCTCGTTTCTCTCCCACCAATCCTCCATCCTCCCCTCTCTTTCAAGGTTCGTGATCGCAAGAACGATGGGAATCTTCTTCTCGCAGAGGAATTCGTGAAAGAGCCTGTAATTGCTCTGCAGCGTAGCAGTAACTCTACCGGCGCGAACACAGAATAAAAGCAGATCGATGCCACCTTGTTTATCCAATCGTTTAATGAGCTGATAGGCGTTCTCGACAAATTCGAGATACTCTTTAGTTCCCAGTTGCGGTGCCTCGAGTCCAATGGTATCGTACACTTTGTAAGACGTGTCGCCGAAGCTGATGTTATACTCTTGCCAGTGCATCGTACAGCGTTGCATGTCAGGAGATGTACATGCCACCTCCTCTCCCGCCATAAGGTTGATGAGTGAGCTTTTGCCTGCTCCCGTATCCCCAAAGAGCACGATACTTTGATGTGTTGTCCTCCTACTCAAGTTAAACTATGATACAAGAAACATCCGAAGACTGTGCACCTTGTACTTATTTTAGGAGGGATGAATTGGTCCCTAACTTTCAGATTCGGATCCTCAGAAGTTTTGTCATCCAAGTTGACGGATTCTGAACATTGCAACGTACGACGCCGCATGTCAGGACCTGTGGGCGTTACCTCCTGTTTTGTCATCAGGTTGACAAGTGAACCTTTGCCTGTTCTCGTCTGCCAAAAGAGCGTGATAATTTTATGCTCATTCCTGGCCAAATCAAACAACTACGATACTGAGAGTATCTGAAAAATACGCACCTTGCACTGATGTTTGGAGGGATACGGTGTCCTCTGGTTCTCAGATGCGGGTTTTCAAGACGTAAGAGCACCTTTGAAGTCCTGTCACGGTAATCCAAGTCGACAGTTTCTGAACATTGAATACGGCGTCGCATATCAGGTGTGGATGGTATTGCCTCTCCAGTCGTGAAGAGTGACCTTGTGCCTACTCCCGTCTGCCAAAAGTACACGACAAATTCCTGCTTCTTCCTACTATTCAAATGAGACAACCCATAGCACGAAGATTATCTGAAGACCACGCACCTTGTACTAAGGTTTGGAGGGATACGGTATCCTCTGGTTCTCATACGCGGGTTTTCAAGACGTAAGAGCAACTTAGAAGTCTTGTAATCCAAGTCAACAGTCTCTGAATATCGAATACGGCGTCGCATATCAGGTGCGGATGCTGTCGCCTCTCCTGTCATGAGGTTAACGAGTGCCAGCGACCTGTTGCCCCCTCCCATCTGCCAGAAGAGCATGATAAGTTCGTGCTTCTTCCTGCTGTTCAAATTAGACAAACTATAGTACGAGGGGCATCTGAAGATTATGCACCTTGTACCTATTTTTAGAGCGATAAGGCATTCTATGATGCCCAGATGCAGGCTCTCGGGTCGAATGATTTCGACAGGGGTCTCGTCATCGAAGTTGGTGGTCTCTGTGCGCTGCAGTAGACGGTGTCGTGTGTCAGGAGCTATGCGCGCTACCTCCTTTCTCCCTAAGACGTTAACGAGTGAGCTTTTACTTGCTCCAGTTTGCCAAAAGAGCAACATAATCGTATGCCTGCTCCTGCTTATAATATTAAACAACCATAGTACAGGGCACCTGACTACACACCTTGTATGCATGTTTGGAGGGATGAGGAATGCTGTGATTTCCATACGCGGGTCCTTGAGTCGACGAAATAACACGATACTTTGGATCTGGTTCCTACCAATCAAATTCGACGAATGTGATATTAGGAGGATCTAAAGACTATGTACCTTGTGCCCATTTTGGGAGTGATAGCGATATGCACTTCGGTTCTCAGACGCGGGTCCACAACGCGTAAGAATGCCTTGAAAGTCTTGTCATCCAAGTGGACGATCTCTGACCGTTGTAGCAAATAGTGTCGCACATCAGGAGTGATGCGTGTTACCGCATCTCCCGCCATGAAGTTGAGGAGAGAACCATTGTTTGCCTCTGTCTTCCTAGAGAGTATGACATCATTCTTCCTTCCCATCAATGTCGGCTCTCTGATTCCTAGATACGGGTGTTCGAGTCGAATGGTTTCGGATGCTTCGGAAGTTTCGTCATCCGGGTCGATAATGTCTGAATATTGTAGCATACGACATCCTATGTCCGGAGTGGGAGCTACCCCATCTCCTACTATGAGGTTGGTGCGTGAACCATTGCTTTCCGCTGTCTCCCACTCGAGTACGGCATCATTGTTCCTACTCATTAATGTTGGCAAAATATGGCACAAGGAACACCCGAAGAATACGCACCCATCATCGATGGCAGAAGTGATAGGGTACTCTTCAATCCCAATATCGGGGTCCTCGAGTCGGATGGATTCAATTGCCTCAAAGGTTCCATCGTCTGACTCGACAGTTTCCGTACGTTGCAGCATACGGCGTTGCCCGTCAGAAGCTGTGGAGGACACCTCATCTCCTGCAATGATGTTGACATGTGAATCAATGCTTGCGGCCGCCTCCCCAGCAAGTATGATGTTTTGATCATCGTTACTGTTCATAATGTTGGAAAGATACGGCACAAGGATCGTCTCGTAACTACGCACCTTGCATCCATTTTGGGAGGGGTAGCGATAAGGTGCTCTTTGAATTCCCGATGCAGATCCTTGAGTCGGCTGGTTTCGAATGCCTTGGAAATCTCATCATATAGGTCAATAGTTGCTGTATACTGTAATGTACAGCATCGTAAGTCAGGAGCCGGCGACGCTACCTCCTCTTCTGTGATGTGGCTAATGAGTGAGCTAGCGCTTGCCGCTGTCCCCCCAGCAAGTGAGATATCTTTATGCCTTTTCCTGCCCATCGATTGTTGGTAAAATATTGGCACGAGGAGTTTTCAAAGACTACGTACCTTGGAGTCGTTGTTGATACCTGCTGGATAGTGTTAAGTAGCCATCGGCCGATATCAGACAGTGGAATCTGAACCCTCTCCGACAGGCGATACTGTTCGATAAGCTGACAGACGGCGCGGTATGACTGTTTGTGGCGCCGCTTGAGCTCATCCCCCGCATATTCGTCGATAGTCGCTGTGGTGATACATGCGTGACCAGCAAAGGTCATCCCGAAGTCTGAGATGGATCGCTCGTTATCCCTCCACCATTGTTCCATTTCTGGCCCTTTGTCTTCTAAGCTTGTGGCGACAAGAACGACTGGAATTCTCTCCTTTACTTCGGAGTATATTAAATCGTAGTTGCGACAGAGCGCCTTCGTCGCTCTCACACCCCGTACACAGTACATGAGGAGATGAATGCCAGTTTGCTTCAAAAGACTTCGAATGAGTTTCTTCAGAACTCTCCGAGCGTCCTTATCGGGGACAGTTCCTTCAGGGCCCTCACCGAGACCTGTAATCCAGTTCCAGTTCAGCAACAAACACCAAGGAGCGGGGAAAATGCACTGACCGACTGTATCGAAAAGCTTTACCTTCAAGGTCTCGTTCTGAATCAAAACGTCGTACACATCAGTTTCAGTTGTACATCCCATAGCGTCGCAGGATATCCGCGCTGTTTGTCTCCCAGCGACCAAATTGATCAAGGAGCTTTTGCCAGCGCCCGTTTCTCCAAAAACGACGACATTGCATGTTTCTGTGAGATGCGAAGCCGCAGTGCTCTGATTTTGGGTTAACTTTTTGCTGAGGAAGAGCAAAACACCACTTACAATACTAGGTAGCCCTCTGTCAGGAAACGACGACATTGCAGAGATGACTCGACTGCAGACGAGATTCAGCGGCGCAAGGAGGATCTTGACTTGCCGCGTGTTCGGCGTTTTTCATGTACCAGTACGGGGTCTGTTAGAGCAGACGTTGATATGGCCCAGGCGCCAGATATGATGATCCCTGCAATGCATGGGTGCAACGTGTTTCATGCAACATGCAAGTTGTGTCACTGTGGCGTAACACAGTACTGGCTATAGGAAGTATATGAACGCATCATGGAGGCGATTCATTGTATGGAATCTAGATGAGACGAGCGCTGCCACATATCACGACAAGTTGACAACAAAGCGTTGGTAGCACTGCGATCAGTGATTCCAAGCATGGGCACCCTGAGGCACCAACTTGAATGCATTAATGGTTGCCGCGTTCAAACCGTGCTGGACTGCCAGCACTGCTATTAGTGGACAGTGACCGGGGCTTTGCAATTGCCGCTCTTCATTGCACTGATAGTACGTTGTTCCACCGAGAGAGAACGCGGCAGTAGTACTAGTTCGTTTGTTGTAGGATGATTGGTTTCGAATCTTCGATGCACGTCTGAAATTGGAAACTCTTGTATTTTACACGCCCGATATCCGTTCCCCGTATTTTCAGAAGGAGCAGCTATACGATTAACTGCATCCACCCCATGTACATATAAGCTTCGAAGATTAGTAGTACTTCCCTGGACCATCATAACAGTGCATTGTATTGAATATTTATGAATGTTAATTCATTCCAGTTCAGTCTCGTCGAGACAGTATAAATACCTCATAATTTTTAGCCTGTTCAGTAAGCCATCCTACATAAGCCAACGAGATCTAGAGAACGTAAGGGAGCAGATACATGAATAAAACGCGAACAGGCGAATATTAACGATGAGAGTACAAAAGATGGCCAGGAACAAATAGCAATAGACAAGGAATGCATATATCTTTAAATAAACCAAAATGTCACATATATATACGTATACAGGAGCCACAAAGGAGGTACCACGCTACCCTGGAACGTTATTTGCAGCTTTGTCCCCTCCATTTGAACTGGCATCTTTGTTGCTGAGGTCTCCACTACGGGTGATACGCTCAGTATCCCTGGCCCCACTGGATGGCGAAATGTCGATGTCCAGGGCATCTTCACCAGTATCTTTGAAATGCGCAACGCTGCCCGCGACAACTGAGGCTGATACTGAAGTGACAGTTGCCTCGCTTCCAGATGAATCCCTACGAGGAGGAAGACCACGTGACTTAGCGGTCCGGCGTTCGGGCCGTCTTTCTTCCGGAGGGTCATCAGGTGCAGGGGAAAGAGCAGAATTGTCGATAGAGTAGGGAGGGGAAGGCTCTCCTGCGGTAGAAGTGCGCGCCGTGGCATTGGCAGCGGAGCTCCTTGGGTTTCGGGAGCGCTTGGCAGGATAGGTCGCGTCACCGTCATCAACTTCTCTGCGCTTTCTTTTGTTTCCACCTCCAGCAGGGCGCCTCCTGCGGGAACTAGCTTTTTCCTTGAGTTCCGGCTCGGGGATAGGGGTAACGTCAATAGAAGTGACGGGGGAGGGAGCTGGCTCATTTGCGTCGCGTACTTTAGGCGCGGGGCGACGTGCACGATTTGAAGATCGGCGCGTGGGATCATCCATTATTACTGCCGGTGCGGGGAGCCCGAACGCAGTGGGATCCAAATCGGGGAGAGATAGGGCGAGACGACCAAGAGGATGATAAAGTGGCAGTGAAGGACCCATCGTCCATCTCTTATGTCTCTTAGAATGACTGGGCTGGTGGATTGTCCAATGCTGAAGAGATTGAGGGGATGGAGAATGGCTTGACGAAGATGCATGACAGCCAACTGGCGGTACCTCCAGATGGAGAGCGGTTGTCCCTGCGGTGGGGGAGCGATACGTGATTTGTGGCTTCCAGCGGATCGAAGTCATGAATGCTAACGGGATGATTTGCGAAAGCTAGTAGCTGGCGAATAATCTGAACCCTGAGAACCTGCAGAAAACTATGGGAGAAAAGGCTCACGAGAGTAGAATAGTAAAACACTGTTATGGTCGCATGCCACGACGACCGTGTCGAGTCTTCTGATGATGTGCGTGAGCGCCAAATTGCACAATGATCCGGGACGTATGAGTAGTAGATATCGTTATTGGGGAGCTATCTGGTATCAGGGACAACTAAATTGACGCGCGGAAATGGCAAGTCACAGCTGGACGCTGGATGATGCGTTACTGTGAGTTATACGGAGAGTTATCAAAACTAGCAGTGAGCACGACCAACGTCCGGAATTGATGCTGTCATGACTGGCACGGTTTATTTGCCGGGTTATGTAATAATGACCGCAGAAAGTTATTGTCACCTTTACCCAGCTTTGGTAATCACGACCTCGAAGCCCACAAGTTGTAGGCAGCATCACACCAAAGAATGAGACTCCTTTTTTTGCGAGTATGAAATACAACGCCGGAGCGCATAACAGTACAATACAGCAACAGCAACACAACCAACAGGAAGTACAGAATATCTACATTGACACGGAAACCCAGCAACGAACATATGTCATGATCCTCACAGTAATCAAATAATATTGCTGAAGGTCATCAGTCTCCGGCGAATGTTCAACAGGCGTTCTTTTCTTGTCGTGAGCATTAGGCGCTTCTGAGCGATAGAAGCATCTTCGCTGACCAACTCCTTCATTCGCTCAGAGAAGTTGGGCGCAGATGCGGCATCAGTTAGCAAGTTCATGAGAAGGCTCTGCGAAAGTTGGTTTGCCAGGGCATGATGGAGAGCATGCTCGATCGTGAAAGGGATATGGTCAATGATCCGCTGCTCGAGGTGATGAGCGCGTTGAAACGGGGATGATGAGCGAGACTCACCTTATAGGCAACGTGATAATAGGCTCGAACGTCGGCCATCACAACCAGCTCTTCCTCGAATGAGTCTGGAGGTAACAACCTTGCAAGATCTGAAACCTGAAGACCTGCATACCCCGCTTCTGCAAGAGCCCTCAAAGCTTTGGCTTCGGGCGTCTCCAACTCGCCAGGGTAAGTCTTATTAGGACTAGGCTTACAAGTACGATCTTTTGAGGCCATAACATTCACCTTCCGTCCCGACGCAGGTAGCGGGTCACATTCGACATCAGAGATTCCGTTAAATCCACAGGGGCCGGGAGACGCAGGCCGTGGCGTCATGGGCCCCTGGTAGATGGGAGCTCTGTACAGAAAAGGTCTACTCCGAACTGTCTTATAATGAGCCAGCCATTTTTCGCGGAGTGTCTGAAGATAGTGCGTGTTCTGAGTATAGTGTGGAATAGTTTCCAAATCTAACGCTGTTTTGACAGCGTTTTTGGCACGCGCCCTGCAGATATCAACCTGAATTCGAATCAAATTGCTAATTTAAAAAACAACTTGAGCCAGGCGATGATGGTGAAAAGTCAACGCTTACCCAAAATATTCCTCGAGAACTTTAAAGCGTCCGAAATGGGTGCTTATCAGTGCGTCGACGACTTGATCAAGCACATTATTGACACCAGCAAGACAGCGCTCAGACGGAGCAACCCAAAGTTTGGTGAATTGAGCAATGAGGTTTGCCTTTGCCTGATATGGCACGTTGTTGGGAAGCTCCCATCCGATTGCCCTTCAAGGTTGGTTCAGCTGCCGCTCAACTACAAGAAAATACGAAAACAAACTCTTGAATAGCCTTGCGAATATCATATATGCCCATCGCTTTCACGCCTGGGTCTCGCTCAGTAAGAGTCATATTTCCTTCAGTATCATCCAGTGGAACGTAGTCTTGCGGTTCATTGAAAGGTCTATAGTCTGGGGCAGTGCCGCGTATATCCCTCTTGAAAATGGCATAGAAAGCACGATTCCGCTGGGCAAGACTTTTGTCTGCGTGACTGCCATTCACAAAGCTCCTGAAGTCATCGCAGAATGCGTTAAGTCGTCCTAAAACCTCGATTTGTGGGTCATTTTCAAGTGGTGGGGGCAGTTCATCGAAGTCCTTGGTGCATTTCGCCAGGAGCGTGTCGACATCTTCTCTAAGACATGGTAAACTATAAACAATGTAAGTGCTTTATAGCGAGCCAGCTAGAGCAAGGTGTACGCACGTTTCCTCAATCAATCGAATGAGCAGTCGGCTTATATCGGACACAAAGCCTGGAATCCCGAATCGATGACGGTCGGTCACATCCTTCCAGGGCGACGTCGTGTCAAAATATTCAGCAGCACGCCTTTGCGATTCAGCACGAGATAGGCGTTGTGCACGTTCGGAATCATCGGGAAGACGCACGCAATAAAAACCGTGCCTGAGTGTGTGCTCCTCTGAACGACCTTCGATGATTTCTACCCATTTGCGGCGTTGGTTGATAGCTCCAGTACCAAGCGTATCAGGTTTTGTAAGCACGCCTGAAGAACTTTGAGTCGTTTAATCATCCTGCAGTATGGGTTACTTGCCGATTGTTCGCTTTCCAATGGGATCAGCGGCCCTGGCGAGACTCATTGATTGTTGATTTTCCATATCATCTGGCACCGCGCCCATCAATTTAGTAAAAAAAAAAATTTGCAGTGCATGCACTTACCACTCATGGGAATCGTAGTCAAAATGATAGTGTTTTTTTTCTCGACATAATGCTCTGCCAGACTTTTCACCAATGCAACCATTTCGGGTTCTTCGTTCTGAATTAGACCTTTACTGCTCATCAGATATGTCGCCTCGATATAGACGGGTATATACTTACCAGGCAGATCATAGAATGACAGATCAGTTGCGTCGGGGTCTTCGATCGAGACGCACACGACATTGCGAGAAAACTTCAATGTATTTTTTATGTTCTTGAGTTCCTCGATGGTCTTTGTGTGGAAAGTGGAAGAAGAAACGTTCGGGTTCAAGATAGCTGCCTGAGCACGACGCAGCCAAACTTCGAATTCACTTCTGTCAGTGATCATTTGGCCAAATCGCACATTAGTAGGCTTTTGGAGGTCTAGGCCGTTACTATCGAAACCGATACGTAGGGTGATAGTGCAGGACCACGATGTGGTATGACTAGACATGTTACATTCCATAGGGCATCTGCATATAGCAGTATGAGTATCCGCGCAATAGCTAGTAGTTATTAGGGTCACCTTGTACACGTTCCACTATCTCTTGGGACGTTGATCTTTATCGCAAGGAAAAATATAATGAATAAAAAAAATAAAAGGATAATCAATCTGCCCACGTACCCCACTGACGGCCTCGACGAGTGAGCTTTTTCCCGCTGAAATTTTAGGTTGAGTATAGTGTGGGTGCAAAGAAAGGCAATCACAAACCTGATTGGCCACCAATGACGACTACAGATGGTAAGGCGATCAAAGCGTCGGCACTGTACAAGGTAGTGTGAGCGATCCAAGGTTACAATCAAATCCATAATCACTCACCCCATAGATCGAAGGTCAGCCATCATCTCCATAAGTTCCCTGCGCCTACGAGCATAGTCGGTGGATGATATGTCCACTTCCTCCCATGTCTCTGGAGGGCTCACGGAACCAGAGAGGGAAGGGAGTGAGGTTGCATCAAGAGAGGGCTCGATTGAGGGTTCCGTAGAAGCTGCTTGTTTGCGTCTATTGCGAAGTAAATCCATGGTAGGTTGAATGCTAAAGGCGTATTGGACACGACATCAAAATGACCTCTGTTTTTATGCGCTGGCTTTCGAATTCAGAGACTTCTTGGACACGTGTGTCGACGTACAATGCACCGCGACCGAGTCGTAATCCACGGCATGAGGTGAAAAGAAAGCGCCTTTAGATGATCTGATGCCAGCACATACAGCTATTAGCGACACCTTATCGTATATTGGGGGTGATTCCTACATGAAGTGATATGTCATAAAAGATCTGCGGTGACCTTTTCGGCAAATCATGTTGTTCTGGCTTTATTGGTTTTCATATCAGAGCCCGCCTGTACACACAAGTACGTGGAGAAGATAAACACGTGCAGGAGATAAAGTTGTTATCACATACATGAGTCTTGTATGACTCAATCATAATGAGCTTTTGCGATTGGTGCCGATATTCAGGCAATCGCAGACACCCAGAAAAAAGTTTTCGGGAAACAGAAGAAGAGTATGCTGCGACGCAGGAGGTTAGCTTTCAAGAGTAAATCGAGATGAGGCCAATGGCGACAAGTAACTTTGTCGCACAGTCACGTGATCAAGGTGACCATTAGCAAGATAGAATTTATGGGTCCAACCTTCTATCACAATCGAATGATTTTGTGTCAAGGATTCGCTATGCGCTGCATCTACACTTACGATGACGAGAAATCTCTTCTCATTGGCAAATTCAACAACACTAGTGGACAACAGTCACCCAATGATTCCGAGGTATCGTGGGTCACACCTGTCTTTGGAGCAGATCACGTCAAAGTAAGTGCATCTCTATGTACAGTATCATACGAAGATGCCTCTGATCTCCCTGAAAAACAAGGCAATTTTTGAGTAGATTGCGATGTCCTGCAAACAATGGTCTAGAATAAATTTGCAAAACGTCTCCATGGGACTGTGGACGATGTTGCCATAAATACTGTGATTCTGCGCATCCACGCGGCAGAGTTATGACACAAGCATATCCAGGGAAATGTATCCCATATTTTGCAAGCTGGTCCTTGTTCTGATTCGGCCACTCTGTCGTCGTCACTCTTCCATGCATGTCGCTACAATAACGATGGGTACTTTGCTATCACCAATGGCTGATGAAAAGGGTTGTTAATTGGTTTGTAGAACCTTTATGGCTCCTGCGCCCACAGTACAGAAGGAGATGGACATCGTCTCCCTCGTCCATAGTGATGTGCATGGCCCGGCTTCAGGCCGTGGGCCAGGCCGAGCCAGGCCAAAGTCACGGCTTGGTGACGGCTTTGTCCTGGCCTGAGATTTTGAGAAGCCGAAGCCGGCGGCTCAAGCCACGGCTTATGTCACACAGAACTGTGCCTGCAGCGTCGCAAACACCACTCACTTGACGACCCCAGAATCCCACTTCTATCCCATTTTAGACTTTCACTTACCATTGTATGAGCTCATGACAGTGAGTTGCTGATCTTTGTTCTTTCCAAGCACGACATAACTCACTTTGTTGCTGGTGGATAGATCAATTTCAGTAATTTGCCCTCTTTTACGAGTCTCTTGCGACTTGCAAGCTTGGCAGCTAGCACATTTGTTTTCGGACAAAAGGTGTGCATCTGTGATGGTATTTTTTTCATATCTGTTTCCTACTACTTGTCTCTAATGGTTGGAACCATCCACACAGACAGTGATGATGAATGTCATGCATGACCAGTCCGTCAAAAGAAGCCCAGTGCCGCCCTTCTCCAACATTCAGAGAAGGCGGCTCTCCCATCCCAAACCAAGGCCATCAACACCTTTCATGCAGCTGAGGCTACGAGGCATTTGCCTGAAATTCAACATGCTTCCAACACGGATCAAACCACCCCCAGCTCAACAGGTGACACCACACCATCAGGTTCAACCCTGGCAACCTCGGCAGCACTCAAAACGGGTAAACGGATGCGTGTTGAAGCAGTTGTTGATGAATCTGATGGAGAGGAATACGAGGATGCATGCACCGAGGAATGTGAAGATGCACGCACCAATCCACGACGTAAGTTTCTTTTTCCATCTGCAAATATAAAACTGATACCCTGGTAGCCAAAAGATTGCGCAAATCAGTGCCAATCAATGTAGATTTGATTGACGATGATGGCATTCCTATTGATGTTCATGTCCAACCCATTACCGACACAGCTACGACACGCGAAGGCAAGACTGTGGATCTCGACGCCTTTTTTGGTGCAACATTCGATCGTACGGGAACCAACAGCAAGGTCAAAAAGCACCGAAAGTGCAAGTTATGCGTGTAGGTCCATAAGGTCATGATTGCACTTGCTCATTCACACCAAATTAATAGGAAACAGTGTATACTTGTGAACGAAGCTACAACACTTCGTCGTCATGCCGAAGCAAATTTTGCGGTGCGTAAATTTCTTTCATATATTCATTGTGCATATATATACATGATTATACTGTAGGGAAAGTATCAACAATGGGCGAAGGAGAACTCCTTCAAGTCTATGTTACCGGGTGACATCAAGGCCCGCAAGGAGAAGGCCGAGCAGGCACAGCGGACCATTAACTCGCATCTGACTGAACGCAAACTCTCTGAACGAGTCATACTGTACTCGGATAAGTTATTCAAACGAGCTGCAATTGAATGGTTGGTTGTGACGGACCAAGTATGTATGCTTTGCTTGATCTAATAGTATGACCATTGACATGCCTTCATCTAGCCCATCCAAGCCCTCGAACACCCGAAGTTCCAGGAGATGATCGATGTTGCTTCATGGGCGACAAATGGTGTCAAAATCCCCGGTCGCAAAGCCACCCGCGCTGAGATCATACAAATATTTAAGAATCATTTGACGAGACTCCGGACGACGTTAAATGTATGTCACAATTCAGCGTGTGCTTTACCACATCTCATCCGCCAACACAGAGCACTGCTGTTAGCGGAGCAATCAATATCACTTGTGATGCGTGGCAAGCCACCAACACTGATGGATATTTCGCTGTCACTGGCCACTGGATCGAAGAGAAGTCAATGATGCAATGGGAGTGCGAAAGCGCACTTCTTGGCTTTACCCAGCTCAACAACGCACACAATGGGAAGCGTCTCGGTGGCACACTGTTCAAAGTTTTAGATTGCATCGGTATCACACATAAGGCATGTCATTTTTGCATTCTGCTTGGCTTACTAGTCTAATCATGATATATAGTTGGGCCATGTCACTTGTGATAATGCCTCTAACAATGGCACAATGCTCGAGGAGTTTGCTCGACTCTATAAAGTGCATCACAAAAAGGAGTTCCCTTGCTATGAACGAAGGATCAAGTAAGTCACTTGTTTCGCAGTTGATATGTGCTCACATAGTGTTCAGCTGTCTCGCTCATGTGATTAATCTCAGCACCCAAGTACTGATCAGTACATACAGCAAATCTCCGCACTATGAACCTCACAATCCCCATGCTCATGAGCCGGATACCACCAAGCATCAAAATCGTGACGAGATCGGACTCATACGTTCGATATGCGTAAAGGTGATTGATATCTCTTTGCACATTATGTTTTACTGAATTATTCAAAGGAGCGATCATCTGCGAAACGTAAGGAACTTTACAAAACAGTGCAAGTCAAGGCTGGCATCTCGCACCCTACACAACTCCTTCTGGATATGAAGGTCTGTTGGTCCTCGACCTATGTGATGGTCAACCGTGCGGAAAGCAATAAAGAGGTGAGTGTAGTCTGCAGTGTTCAATAATGCAATGTCTAATTTCTGACAACAGCATGTTGACGTCTTCGTGTATGAGATGGGGCTACAAGAGCGAGACTTGACGAAACGGGCTAAGATCGACTTCCTTACGCTGGCGCCAGATGAATGGACCTGTGTTGGTAAATTTGCTGATCTATTATCGGTATGTTACCTTCATTATTTGATATTGTGCCGCCGCTGATTTAATGTTTCAGTACGCAGACGTTACCCAGCAGGCCTTCTCGTCAGAATCAACTACTATGCTACATCTTGCTATCCCTGCACTCGAGACTCTCCATCAAGCTTGGTCTTCACGTGCAGAACGGCCAAAATATTCACATTTCACACCAGCATTGCATGCCGCTGCACAAAAGCTCGACGAGTATTATGATAAGACCACTGACTCCCCGGCCTATGTCATGACTATGTGTATGTTCCATTTACCATGTATCCGTGATGCTCATGTTCCATGCAGTGCTTGATCCAACGGGTAAAATGTCGTACTTCAAGAAGAACTGGCCCAAGGATTTGCAAGACGAAGTTCTCGCTTGCGCAAAACAAGTGGTATGTTGGACAAAGTTATTCACCAGCCTACAATCACTTACAAGTCATTTAGTTTGAGGCTCACTATCTTGAATTGGGCCAGGCAGCATCCATGTCACAACCTTCGCTTGTCAAGAAAGGCAAGGCTAGCGGACTCAAGAAGTTAATTCACGAGGCACAGAGCTCCGATGAAGATGACGATGACGAGACTGTCGTCACCCATACAGATCCATCTAGACCATGGTATGCCAGTTTTGAAAACTATGTCGATGCTGTAGAGACGAAACCTCCGCCTGGAATGAGCATAATTCAATGGTGGGGTGTAAGTACACATCCAAGTCTATCTCATCTCAATACTGACCAGTCTTTGTTGTAGATTAATGGACACAGATATGGCCCAGTATGGACCTCACTAGCTCGTGACTACCTCTCAATTATGGCATCGTCAGTTTCGAGTGAGCGCGCGTTCTCACAGGGTGGTATTACCATTAGCAAGCGCCGCAACCGCCTCAAAGGCAACATCATTGAGGCACTACAGTGCGTCAAATGTGCCCTCTGCCATGATCTACTCTTCCGCGAGCCTGGACCCTCGTCATCAACTGAGGAAGCTCTCGAGGACTCTGATATTGAAATGGATGCTAACGAGAAG